TCCGATGTGTTGTGATATGTTTCCACCATGATTTTTTTTATTCAACTGAAGAAACACAACTTCGACAAGACGTGCAATATACAGTGTAGTTCTATGAATGAGTTAATTTAATTGATTAGTGGAGTGAATTATCTATTTATGACTTACGTTGTTTGGTTACAATGGTTACAATTATCCGTACTTCCTATTTTTTACTTTATTTTTAACTAGTACTTCTGTATGAAAAATCCGATTATTGAAATGTTGAAAATTGCGGTCGGGGTTGCGGCTGCCAAAAGGGTACATCGTTTATCCGGACATCTCCTACATTTTTCAAGATAGGAACTTTTTAATTTGCTAATCAATAGTACCTATATCAGATATGTGTATAGTACTTGTATTTAGGTTTTTTTTTTTGATAATTTATGAGTAAAAATACTAGCTACATAGTCCATTTTTAAAAGTATTGTATACAGGGCGCATCATTTGTCCGGTAATTTCCTCCTACAGTTTTCAAGATAGGAAGTTTTATTTTGCAGATCAATTGTACATATATCAGAAATGTGCATAGTACATTGATTAAAAATGTGGAAAAAGTGGTAGTTGCATTTTAAGCAAACTATGTTCATAGCGTACATGTTGGAATGTCACTGCCTATTTTTTCAGAATAGGAAATTATAGTTAACATGAGAAAATTCAAATACCAGTACTATTCACAAAAAGAAAACTCAGTTTGCTGACACATTGTCAGCTTTCCCCTTGTTAGTAATTTTATGAAATAATAAGACACTCTAAACATTACACAGAAATCTTTGTAATTTTTAAAAATCTAATTCTTCATGAAAATGTTAAAAAAGATGAAATGCCAATTACATTCACTTACATTCGTTTAAAATGTTTTAAAGATAATCTGAAACAGGATAACAGTGTGAGTACAGATATAATCAATTTAACTTACACTTGCGTTGAAAGAATTCCATATTATGAAATCATCTTTAACATACATTTTCTGTGAAATGTGTAAAATTTTATTTGCATTATTTTAAGGTAATTGTTCCCATACAAACCATTAGTACTAGGCCACTTTTTTGTGCATTTTGACTAAAATTGATAATTATTGAACTAGAACGCATTTAATTTTTCTTAACATTCTAGTTATATACTTCTGTATGAAATTTATAAACAAATAAGTTCAAACTTTTAGAATTGTTCACTATAAAAATGTACCAAAACGTTTACAATGATATTATTTAAGTTAAGTTTAATGCTGACTCACATCTTAGCATGTTGAATACTTACCTTATAGAACGAATGACCTGATCTCTTACATGTAGGTATTCTTTTCAGTCATGTTCACCAAAGAACTACGAGGGTTGTCCATAAAATTCGTAGAGATTGACGTTTTTGTCAAAATTCTTGGTTCTAGATATACTTATTGTACACCAAAATATTTGTTATGAAAATCCAAGACAGACTAGTTTGATTTTTTATTGTTTGAACTTAATATAATTATTGTAAAAATCGCGGTTTTTAAGGATCCCAGAAAGTGCGAATGGCCAAGGTTAGAATGCCATAAGTTTTGAAATAAAGTGTTCTAATTGAAATGATTATTTTCTTTATAAAGCAAGCCGAATAATAAAAAAAAATAATGTGTCGGAAATAAAGCGGCAATTGTTATTCTCTGATATCTTTAATATCGATTATTATACATAAATAGACAGAAAAATCGACGTCGGTCATCCGAACGTAACAGCGTTCATTCATAAAATTATGTTTTAATTTTGTTGAAACGACGACAAAGACGAAATGTTGATTCAAACTACTTGAAATTATTGGAATATGTTAGGTTCATTCATTTGAAATCGGATTTTACGATTTTTCAGTGGTGCGTACAATTTCCGAGACACTACAAGAAGTGGAAAACTACTGTTATTTGATGAAATTAGGATATCCCTCTTCATGACGTTGTTATGAATTTAGCGCAACGTCGGACTGGGCTGTGCAGTCAGTGTATACAAAGCGTTCATATTAATGACGCTCGTAAATTATCGTGTATTGTTTTAATTTTTGAAACTCAAATCAATAATGGTCTGTACATAAACTTGGCAATGTGACATATTAAAAGAATGTAGCGTGTGTCTATGAACGTGTGATAAAAAAATGTGATTCAAAATTCATATTTTTGACGTTATCATGAAATTAGTTATGCGTTAGACTGAGCCATGTGGCTTGAATATACAAACTATTTCCACCTATAACGTTCTTAAAATAGTGTGTACTGTTTTATATTTTATATTTCCTAAATCATGGTCTATATTAAAATATTATTGTACACGTTTGCCAGTGCAGACTTTATTAGGAAAAGTATATCATTTGTCCACGAGTTTTATACGCCTGTATATACTTAAATAATTTGTAATATCAATTTGTATTTCTTCGCTTCACCCGCTTCAAACCGGACCAAGCACAATGGATTTGCTAAAAATGAAAAATGTATTTGCAATGCGTATAGTTACAAAGAAGTACGTGTATTGTTTAAATATTTCAAAATATTCTTTAGTAAAACTTTTGATCCTCCATTGTGGCCCCTCCTTACCCCCGAGGTCCTGATTTGAAAAAAAAATGTTGCATGGCATCTAATGATAACACAGAAAGTAGAGTTAAACAAATTAATGCTCAATAAATGCTACAGTATGAAAATGAAAGGTCTTCAGTAATTGTGTAGATTTACAAACCTCTGTGCCCATCATTTTGAAGACATAGTAACGGCTTTTAACAAATTCAATAAAATGAAAGTTGTTAGCCGAGGCATACTTTTAGCTCAGTATTTCAAAAGACATAAACATGAAGAATATTGTTTTCAGAATTGAGAAAGCTTTATTCAAAACGAAATATTACTATCCTTTGTTTGCGATATAATTGAAGTTAGTTACACATTTTTTGCTGTTTGTACATCAAAATATTCTGAGTACAATACAAATCTTTGAAGAGAATTGTTTATTTCACTGCGTATTTCATTCAGACTTAAAGGATTGGTAAATGGCATTAAACAAACATGAATCTTAACATAATACTCTGATTTGCAAAACATAAGAATAACATAGCAGTTTTGTACAGCAAGCATTAATCTAACATAATTATTTTGCACAAATTTGAATCCAGTAGCTCTGTGCTAGATCAGAAACCAATAAAAATAGCTTTGCCAAATAAAACATTTAACAGTATTTTTGCAGAAACGTAAATTTAACATACTAGTTTTGAACGAATGTAAATCTACCATCTAGTTTTGCGCAAATAAACGTCAAATTAACATTGTATATTTGCGAAAAATTAAAAAAAAATATCTCTGGTTTTATTTAGCAGTTTTCCACAAACATGAATTTTACATAAATCAAAATAAATCTTACAGCTGTAGTTTTCTGAACTATTCTAAATTGTACTGAAAATCAGCATTTGACTCATTGAAAATGTTCACAAAAAATATCTCAGAATTCATAAAGTAAAAAGTATTTATACCCATGGTATTTCATCAAAGTTCATCACAAGAGATAATCATATTATAGGGAAAATTATCAAATCTTATATATTTTTTAAGGAAATGTGAATAAAAACACCAGATAAGCATTTCCTAATTAAAGATTATCAACAATTAAAAAAAACTATTGGTATCCAGGCATTCAGAGAAAAATTACAGTTTTAAAAAAATATATACTAGTTTAGCTATTGTGTTATGTTCAATTTTTATACAATACATGGTGTAAAAAAAGCTTGTGTTATAATTCTGAGACATCACAGATCATGCCCAGTTTCATGCTAATAAGCATTAATATCTAAGGCAAGATAAAAGGAAATACAACGTTCTCTTTTATTGCTGCAAATTTCTACTTTTTATAAAACCGTTTGTAAGACTTCAAAGAATCTTGAATCATATTTGGATGCATGAAATGTTTTCATGTTTGTTTAATGCCGCTTTGAGAATTTTTCAGTAATATTGAGATGCCACAACTTGTCGGTGGAGGGCTTCAAAATTTTGACCTTACTCGGCACTTAAGGCCTTTGAGCAGTGATGGATCTTTTTTGTGCCAGCACCAACTGCGACACGGTAACTCGATTTATACGGTCTCATCGAAAGGACCGGTCGCCATGTCACACTGTGGATTCGAACCCGCGATCGACGTAAGGATCAACTCCTTACGCCGCAACTCAAGAGCAAACGCTCTAACCACTGTGCCTCATGGGCGACAAATTCATGAAAAGAAAATCGCTGTACATAAATATTTCAAGTTTCATTTCGAGACAATTAAAAAAATAATTTTAAGTGTTGCTGTTCCTGGCTTTCCTTAGTTACAGGAATCAAATGTTAGAATACAATTAACGCTGTCTATAGCCATTGTGAAATGTATTAAATCAACTTAGCAGTTTGGAAAGAAAATTGCAATTCATCTGTTTGATTTTTCTAGTAATATTGCAGGTAAAAAGTGCATATTGACAAAATTGTGAACTGCATTGAAATATTTGATACTTGAAGCAACTTTTTTTAACTTAAGAAGATCCTTCTTGAAATTAATATTCATATACATGTTAGAGAGCCATATATACCCAGTAATGTTTCTGCTTTCCCTGAAATGGTTATGGTAAAATGACAAAAGGCTGCCTAATTTATCTTTGTCTTCACCAACACAAACTCTCTCTCTCTCTCTCTCTCTCTCTCTCTCTCAACTATATGTTATGTTGGCATCTTTATCCTCTCGCTTGATACTTAATTCCAGTTGTCGCAGACTTTCATTTATATGAAGAAGGCACCATGTACCCATCATTTTCTTGATTCGGCGACAGATGAGCTTTTGAAGTTGTTGACAATTCTTTAAAATGTTAAAATTAAATATCAATTAGTTTCCTATTTTCAAAATTAACACATATTGAAAAAATATCAACAAAATCTATAAGAACGAGTAATTATTTAATATCAAAAATTCAAAGATTTTTGTGAATTTTCTCCTAATATAAATAATTGTTTTTACCAAGTGACGAGTAATTGGACGCCGCCAATGCATTAATATTAACTGAGTCATAGGTGCTCCTATAAATCAATAAACATTTATCTTTAAAAACCCTCCTTAAAAGTCAATCATTTTGTAATATAAAAATTCATTTCAAAATAATATACATATTAAGCTACAGTTTACCTGATCATTGCATTTTCTGCACCTGTAAATATTGACAGGAGTCATTATTTCTTTTTAAAAAAAAGATTTGAAGGGTTAAATATTGGATGAATTCAAGAGTTCATAACGTTACGCGCAATTTAACATACACTTTGTCAGATTTCTGGCTTTCAAAAAAATGATGACACTGGCAAGGAAGAACAACCCAGATATAATCACCAGAGTGCTTCCGATGGCTACAATTGTAAATCCTGAAAGTTAAAACAATTATCTCAATATTTCTTGGAAATTAATCATCGAAAGAGTTCGTAATTGTACATCTCATAAAAATATCACATAGTACATGTCAACGTATCATCTATTTTTGAGTTTGAGTTACTTGAGTGATTAAACTAAAGGTACGTATCACCAATTCATGATTTAGGGAATTCTTCTGTATAGCAGCCCGTCAGTATAAGTGGTTTGCTTGTTTGTTTAATGCCCCTTTGGGAATTCTTCATTCATATGGAAAGCCACCACTTGCCAGTGGAGGACTGCAAATTTAGACCTGTACTCTGCACTTACGGCCTTTGAGCAGTAAGGGATCTTTTTCGTGCCAACACCTACTGCGACACGGGACCTCGGTTTACAGTATCGTCTTAAGGGCCGGTCTCCACGTCCCGCAGTGGGGTTCGAACCCGCGTTTTCATTCCCTGTTCACACGAATGTGCATTTAATATTCAATTCGCAGTAAATGAATTCGAAGTAAAATAATGCAAATTAAACTGTAACGCGAATTAATTTTCGTTCACATCATGGTTAAAGCGCATTAAAATTTCATTTCTACAGGTAAGCTTTTCTGACATCATTTACAAATCACATCACCTGATGCAGAGCAGATTACATTAGACATAATTCAAATTATCTTCTCTTGGCGTTTAAACGGAGTTAATGCGAAGCAATTTGATGTGCAGTAAATTAATTCGAATTAAATTAATCCGCACCAAATTCTCCGTGTGAACGCGGTTCAAATTTAATAATGAAAAAGTGAAGATAACAAACGGATATCGATCTCAAAAAAAATCTATAAGTAATACAATTCTGTGAAGAAACAAATGGAAATTCAAGAGGTGGGATCAGGTGCCCAGGAGGAGTAAGCATCCCCTGTGAGTTAAGTTTAATTCGAATAAGACATTATGATCATCTTACTCAGCACCTCTAGAGAACATATTCTAACTACTCAGCCACGCGAACTACCAAAGAGTTAGGTTGTTTTACAGATGTTTATGTTTGAATAGTGTAGAAGCCAAGAGACCTTTTTATCGAATGTTACTACTAGAATATCTGTGAATGTCTTCAGGAAGAACACGTTATGTGAAGGGGTTTTTTTGATCATTTTTTATCTTAATATGATCATACATTAATATACATGTAAATTACAGAAAATGTCATATTGATAGAGCACTTATAATAACCACAAATTCAATTTAATTGAATGCATAACAGATAAGTATGGGATGAATAATCAGTATATTTAGTCGTAATTTTTATGTTTTAGTATATCAGTATATCAGAATGTGCCTTAATTTATTACCTTTTCCTTGTTCTTCAATAAAATCAATTCTAAAAATCTATCTCGTGCCAAAATTAGTTTTCAATCGTTTTTAGCTCTACTGGTCAGAGACCAGAAGAGCTTATGCGATAGTAAAGTGTCCCTCAGCCGTCTGTCTGTCTGTCGGTCTGTCTGTTAACAATTTTTCAAAAAGCTACTACTCCTACAGTTTTGGTCTGATTTCAATATAGCTTGGCAAACAATTAGACTACACTAAGATTAATAAATTTTTATATTGGTTTTTGATTTCGATGAACGGTGTTGCCATGGTTACTAAAAATAGAAATTTCTGTGAAATACTTTCAAAGTGCTACCCCTCCTACAGTTGGCATGCAAGTAGAATACACTGACGTACATATTTGTCTCTATCATTTTTTCTACTTTGATGAATAATGTTGCCATGGTTACTAAAATTGAAATTTCCGAAATTCTTTTAAAAGGCTACTCCTCCTACAGTTTTATTCTGTTTGCAACTTAAAAAGAGATTTAACCAATGATCATTATTCTATTTGTTGCTGTTGCTAAGTTTTAAGTCCAAGTGCAACTTTTCTCTTCTTTTGTTACAAGTTCAAACCAGTAGAGTTACAGTCTCGTCAGAGACTTCTGGTTCTAAATACATCATCCCATTAAAACATTTTTTTTATATTCTAAATATTTACATTTTTGTTTTTTAAAAAAAATTGCTTGTCCCAATAAACCTCAATGCAATCTCCATTGACTAATTACTATTTAGGTCATCAATTTTTTGAAAATTTCTCTTAGTACATCCTTTTCTAGTCTAAAATGCTTTGGATTCATATCAGAGTATTTTATACATGATGGATATTTAAGGTTAGGAAATCAGGCACTTATATAGATGGGAAATCTTCAGTCCCCTTTTCGCTAATTCCTGTTAAGGTTATTCCACCCTAGCAATTTTAATGGTTCAAAGTAGAAAAACTGCATTTATTTTCACAGATGACAGTTTGAATTAACTAATAAATGCATAAAATTTATACGTTGTCATATTCTTTAAGATATTAGACATAAATAAGCAGAGGTATAAGACAGCATAAAAAAATCTTACATTTTTAGTAATAAGTATTATAAAAATTATGTAAAGACTAGTTCAAATACATAATTCTGATGCTGAGAGTTCCAAAATTGCTGCTTTATAAATACTAGTATGTTTGAATTGTGAATGTCAGGGACACTATTGCACATTAGAAGAACAACAGCAAAAAATGCCTGATTGATGATACATGAGAAGGATTTTTTAAAGATTGAATAATTGATTAAATCCAGGAAATGTGCATTTTTAAAATTCTTTAACTCAACAATAATTTTTGTTACACCTATTGAATAGCATTCTATCAAAAGATATTTAAATTAATAATAGTTTTTGCAAAACCTATGACATCACAGGAGGATGGAAATTCCTTAATAGCCATCGATTTTTCAGTCAATCAAACACAACCAATTTTTTCACTGTTAGTACAAACTCAATGCACAATATATAAGGACAATTTAATATAGGTTTTAGAGGTGGAATTCCTCTTTTAAACATCAAAATTTCCACACTTCTTCATTTTTAAGAATTATGAGCCTCGTGTGGTCATCATTATTATCCCTGGCACAATATTTTTTTTTCCAAATGAAATGTAAATCATAAAAGAAATATTTTCTAGTCCTTTAATTGCAGAGAAAACATATTAATGCATGCATTCGAATTCTATTTCCAGATATAAAATATCTTATCTTCGTTTTCGAGGTAAATTTGGATGAAACTGATTATGTAGTTTGAGGATAATATCATAAGCATAGATTATACAAACTTTAAGGAAAAATTTCTATATAAATCTATCTTGAATTTCTATGTGAGAAATACTCTCAAAGTAAATGTGATTGGATAAATGATGAAGGAAACATATGAAAATTGACAAATGAAAGAAGAAAATGAACAAATCACTCAAATAACACTCAATGATTAAATGTATTCCTCGGGGAAATGAGAACCAAGGAAAACAGAGAACATATTTAAAAGAATGATACTTGAAATCGAAAAAAAAAAATTAGAACGCTACCAAACAATTAGGAAAATGTGAATTGTGCTCACCATTGGCATCAGCACGGCGTTGATTGTAATCGACAGGACGTCCGATCTCCTGCTGTGTGGCTTCTTCAGGTGTTGTACCAGAATATGTGGTCAAATTCACCCCTTGGGTTATTTTTTCTCTTAGAACCTCTGTAACAAATTGTACATTGAAATGCAGCTTTCTGACAGAAAGATATTATACACAACGATTAATGAAAAAAATTATAAATTTAGTTCTCTGTCTTATATTTTCAGTAAAATAAAAGGTTGAGTGATAACAAAAAAAGCAATTTTTGGGCATTTTTGGCAAGTTTGAGAAAAAAATCTTGAATATTGAGATCATCGAATATCAAAAGACAGGAAAAACGGCGGCTAGAAAGTGCAAGGGTAAAAACAGTTCCAAATTCTTCAGTAAACTATAAGAAAGACTTTCTGTTTAAGTGAAAAGTTTGAAAAGGATTCGTTGAATAACGTTACGACATTGAGTTTACTTTAAAAATCTCACTTTAAAATATCCTTAGACATCTGAGGCAAGGATGGAGCACAATTATGGGACTCCAATGTTAAGCAATGTAATATGTATAAGAATTTATAATACATGTATCATTATCTTTTTAAGTACTAGTATGATGCCCTAGTGTATGTGTAAGTTCAAATTTAATGATAAAGTTTAACTTTATTCATAATATTGTAACAGGGTTTTGTTTGTTTGTTGTTTAACGTCCCTCTCGAGATTTTGTCACTCATATGGAGACGCCACCACTTGCTGGTGGAGAGCTACAATTTTTGACCTATACTCGGCACTTAGGGTTATTGAGCAGTGAGGGATCTTTTTCGTGCCAGCACCTACTGCTACACGGGACCTCGGTTTATACGGTCTCATCCGAAGGACCTGTAACATGGTAAGGAAGTGGGTAAGAGCAACCTATTTTTCAAGAAATGTCAAGGAACTGCTAAACCAAGATTATTATTTCAAGTTTGCAGTAGTCAAAGCAATAGTCAAAGTTTCGGAGTAATTTAATCCTGAAGACATTGCAGGAGTATACTAATGTCCCAAAATAAATGCAACCAATATGGCAAGAAGAATGAGGATAATTTTTTAAAAGTCTATCCAAATAACCCTGTGTAGTTTAGTCAAGGAGGCAAGAAATTTTTCTGTGTTTGATTTACGCCATTTATCCAATCAATACAGAGGGCTGATAGCGAGTGTGACCAGTCGACATTGGTTGCATACTTTTACTATCAACCGATCCCACTTCTGGAGTTTCCAGGGATCTATGTTTTAACCCTGTTTACGATTTGTTTTCTTTACTAGATTTATGATATTAATCATTGTTTTTTATCTTTAAATTTTACATTTGAGTCTCAAAAAAGTAGGTAAGATATTAGTACTGTATTTAATGCGATGTCCCTTGAGTGTGTAAGATCTATGACTATGCTTGTTGAATCCAAAAGCTACCCATGTTGTAGTTTTACAAAAGCTTCTGATTGCAGTTCTAATTACCTTCCTGTTGGCATAGTGAAGGAAGCATATCACTGCAGTTTTTGGCCTGGACATTTACAGATCTATTCTTACTAACAGCCAAGCACTCAGATGGGTCTGTCACATTACCTAGAAATAGAATAAAGCAAGAGTGTTTTAAATGTAACAATGCAATTCGTATATATGACTGAATAGTGTTTACCATGTCCGTACTCTATTCTTTTTTTTTCTGTCGAATTATATCCGTTTGAGCAAAACTGCATTTAATCTGTTGTAGTTAGTAAGCTTAATATTTGAGATTTATTACCTCCATTGTCTTAACAAAATTCAATGCAAATAATTCATCATTGCAGCTCCACACACAAATGCGCCTTAAGCTTACTGCTAAGTGAAAGCATTGCAGTTGTGACCTCATTTTTTTGCCTAACTGCTTTTGACTGTCTGCATGTATAGCTTAATCGGGTTATGAATGTCACAATGTTGATTTTTGTAACAAATCAGGATATTAATCTCTTGCACAACAAAAAATTAGTGAGATAATCAAATGAAATATAACGAAAGATAACGAGCAGTGATCGACAAGAAAAAAAGCTAACAACAATGCATATCCGTGAATAGGTCATTTAACACGGACTCCTGGAAATTTCGGAGATGGGATCAGGTGCCTAGGAGGAGTAAGCGTCCCCTATAGACCGGTCACTTCCGCAATGAGTCGTAAATATTAATAATGCTTCGAAAATATTATGACCTTCATGTAATTGTCATACAAGTATGAACAAACGAAGCTGAATCAATATAGTTATTTTAATTTTTTAGTTGATCGCAGCGTTTATAGATAAATGTACCACGTGGGTATCATATACTCTAAAAAGTATGCTAGTAACAATATTATTACATGTAATTTAATTTGCGTACGATGTATTTATCTAGGACGTATGGATCTTTTTAATGACACATAATGAGAAGGGTTTTAAAAGTATGCCGAAAACCAGCATTTACAAACTTTTTTTTAAACCCAGCTGGTATGTGTATTGATTAAATTAAACATTATATGAAACTTGAAAGAAGCAAATGTCAAAAAAGATAAAAGCATTGACATATTAAAAGTTTGAATACATTTATTCATTGAACCTGAAATAAAGATACCCCAGAGTCTGGCACATCTGTTTCATATTTGGATATTTTACTAGAAGAAGACGTTAATAGTAACCTATAGCTATTAACCAAGCTTTATGATAAACGTGATGACTAACTTTTCAAACTTCCCTTACTTAAGTAGCAATATACCCTTATCACCTGCATATGGGGGTCATGTCTCTCAGTTGATTCGATACGCAAGAGCATGCTCTACGTATGAACAATTTCTAAAACGAGGCAAGCTATTGACAAACAAGTTGATGAAACAAGAATGTAAAAGTCTCGTTTAAAGTCTCATTTCGCAAGTTCTATGGTCGATAAAATGACCTTGTCAAGGACCCTATTTCAGAAAAGTCATAATTCAATATTTATCCGAAAATCCTGATCATTAAAAACTATATGTAGCATAAATATTTTTTTTAAAAATTGATGTAAAGACATTGAAATAAAGTGTCGCATTGTCTTTTTTTTTGCCAGTACCCCTGCATAATCAAAATATATTCATTATATTTTTTTCTGTATATTTTCTCCTTTAATTACTACCAGGCAAATTCTCTATTAAGGTTTATTTTTGATTGATTCCATAAAGGATCGAAAATATATGTAGATAGGTAGTGAATAAAAAATGTAAAAACCATGCCTGTATTCCATTGCTTTATGCTACGCCTCGATATTCCCGTCCACGCCCTTGTGATGCTGGAAGGGGGATTTGAAAGGATATATATCCCATCAAAAGAGCCTCTCAAAACACCATCACAATTTAACACCGAGTTAGTCCAGTTTCTACGTTCTGGTTGTAAGTAGACCGATTTCTCCTTCTCACCCTGACCTACGAAACAAAACAATTTCATTGGAATTGAAAATAATTAAAAATGTTTATTATACATTTGTAACTCTTCATGATAACTATTCATATATATCTATAAAAGGTCAATTAACAAAATAGTTTTATACCATTTTTTGAAATTGTAAGGATCTACACAAAAAAGATAATTTATGATCCTATTACATGTTCATTACCGTATTTCTTTCATGTGTTTACCTGAGGTACAAGTCTCCCGCGTGGCGCAGTGGATACAGCGTTTGCTGTAGTTTCGCAGTAAAGGAGTTGATCCTTATGTGGTGGGTTCGAATCCCACTGCGGGACCTGGAGACCGGTCCTTCGGATGGGACCGTATAAACCGATGTCCCGTGTCGCAGTAGGTGCTGGCACGAAAAAGACCCCTTGTTGCAAAATGGCCCCGATTGCTGAGTATAGGTCTAAATTTGCAGCCCTCCACCGGCAAGTGGTGACGTCTCAATGTGAGTGAAAATTTATCGAACTCATTAATCAAACAAACAAATCTGAGGTACAAAAATTAATCGATACTAATACACCTAGTACTAGGAAACTTTGTGGATTTGTCTCAGCAGTTAGGTCTCCTTGCCCAAGGATAACGAAACAGACTTAAACACAAGGTATATTTTTAATCATCCATACGATTTTAATTATTTGTCAGCTAAATCTCTTAATCTGTAGATAAGAAAACTTTGTTGATGCAATGTTTTGCATTGGACTTTTTGATTTCTATAACACTCAGTATAACATGAGGATTTTGATTAAGCTAAAAATGTTTTATGATCCGGGGCCTTGCACAATGATATAAAATTAATTGTGCACGTGCTTATTGTACGTTTTGCGTTTCTGCTGTTTTCAGAGAAAAAATAATTTTTTTTTTCACTTCATTGAGAATTTGAGGTTAACGCATTGTCAAAATATATATCTGCAAAAAAAAAATGCATTGTTACAATGTGAACTGGTTTGGCAAAGTTGTTCATCACAAATTAGTACCTGAGTAATGGCTTTGTACAATTTGTAACAGATGAATACGGTAAAGTAAAATCTTTTATGCTAATCTTTTTAGAGAAAAAAGTATATCTTCAGTAAGAAAAAACAGACTTGCTCCATTTAGTTTTCCACAAAGACTTGATGAATTTATTGTATTGTACAAATGGTGAAAATACAAACACATATTGGCAGAGAGAATCGAACGTGTTGTCGACATAAACATTTTTCAATTTCTCAATCAATTTTACTTTATAAAGAGCAAATAAAATAAACTCAAAAAAAAAAAAAACAAAAAACAAACAAACAAACAAACAAACAAACAAAACAAATAAGTAACTTGACAATCCTTTATTATTATCCTCAACAAAATTTAATATGTATGGTGAAAATGTATATCTTCTCAAATACTTTTTTATGAAAGAAATTAATTTCAAATTTGAAAATTATCAAAAGAAAAATATACTTTTGGAAATTGTAATGTTTTATTGTCAACTTGTAGCATTCATGATCAAAACTGCAGCTCTCTAGAACTTACATACGCAAGGTAGTTTTGTGCTGCATGGAAGAAATTCGTGCAGTCCTACACTCTTACCAGGGATCAAAATAACAGCCGCACAGTCTCCAGTTCCGTTAGCTTAAAAAGAATATCATCATTTATAAATCAATTATAAAAGGTTGAATTTAAATTCACAGCAACTTCAATCCAAAGTTAAAGGAGTTAAAACATAATTTGTCTACAAAATATATGACTTGTTATCTGCACTTCTACCAGGATGTTAATTGCATTCAGCTAGAGAAACACAATCTTTGTCAAGTTGAGCACTACTCTGGAATTCTAAGAAATTACTAAAACGACAATGCATTCGAAGGGGAAGGTGTTTGTTTTATTTACGCTTTCTGATAAAAACCCCGAAACAAAATCTGTCTTACAGGTTTATATATTTTATTTTTTCTTCCTGACACTTAATAGTTATGCACGGTGCATGTATATTTAAGTCATATGTAAGTCAAATAAAATCAAACATTTGTACTTATTACAAATATACCTGAAATACAATAGGATATTTCCGTTTAAAATTGTATTGGGTAATGACCACGTCTTTACAAATTTAATTCTTACCTTGACTTCTGAATTGGCCTGTTTGGAGTTCTAGAAAGGCTTTCTCACTATAGAAGTCCATTTGTGTATTGTTAAACAACGTGTTGTAACATCTACTAATTGTTACTTTTGTTTGCAGAAAATCGATACAAACACATTGCCTTGACTGAAATAAGAGAAAATTTAAAATATTAATAATACTTGGTTAGGAAAGAGCTGATCGTACTATTCAAATTATGTTACTTGGCATGTAATTAAACACAATGTGAAAAAAGGGTTCAAGAATTTTGTTAAATATTCAAGAATATGTTACTGAAAAGGAAATGTGTCTAGTGAATATGTATATTCTCTAAATTGCTTTTACAGATTTATGAATTGCAATTAGCAACAGTGCAGGAAGTGTACATGTCAAGCAGAGGCCCGTACGTTGGTTGAATAATTCAATAACTTGTACCGTCACGGTAGCTCAGTCGGTAGAGCGCTCGCTCTGTGATCGAAAGGTCGTCGTGAGTTCGAATCTCGGCCGCGACTGACTTAAATCGATAAGAAAAAATGGTAGCCACTGTTCCTTCGCGAAGCACTTGGCACTTTGAAGTGAAAGTTGCGAGTCTTGCGGAGGAGACTTTAAAAACCGAGGTCCAGAGTCACGGCAGGCGTTGGTATGATAAAGATCCCTCACTGCTCAATGGCGAGTGCCGAGTAAAGGTCTAAAGAAGCCCTTCACCGGCGTATGGTGACGTCTCTATATGAGTGAAAATCTCTCTCTCTCTCTCTCTCTCTCTCTCTCTCTCTCTCTCAGTGATTAAATTAATGAAATAAATCGTTCGATGATATTTCCAAGCAAGAGAGTATACATTGTATATGCATGATGGAATATTGAAAGAAAACAAAAGAGTCAGTGGATCGGATATATTTGATTTTGCAGCCTCATTTTATTAAATTGGATTACATCAATAACAAAAATAAACAACAAATATAATTGAACAATAATATGATTATCATTATGCTTAAAACAAACTTTAAAATCTCTTCAAATGTTTGTAAAAACCCTTTACTGGCGTATTTTCGTAATTATTGCTAAGCCATTAAAAAAGCAGCAAATTTTGTTTTATTCAATATATGGACTCTATAGCAAGACATCGTTATAATTTCTTTTCAGGAGAAAGAATTTTTTAGTACTTGAATACTCACTGACAAAGCAAATCTTGACCCATTACAAAAATTGTAGCAGTCATACACTGGTTGATTGGTTTTATGTAGATAAGTTTTCCTTTCATTGGTAATTGATATGCATCCTAAAATAACGAGTTCAAAATTCATTATGATAACAAGATAAAACAAGAACAGTTTGAGTGCATAGATTGCAGATATATCCTAAATACTCTAAAACACAAGTATACAGATTGGAGTAACAAGAATTGATAAATTGACCATGGTCTTTTCCACAAGTTGCTGGAAAAATTTCATAATCTTTTTAAAAATCTTTTAAAATCAAATAAATCACACGATAAAAAATGCGTCAACAAAAAAGAAAAGAGTTTATATACATATGCATATTTTATAATCAAGAATTGACAATGTTTAATAATAAGAGTTTAATCCAGATTAATCAAAATTATCATCATCATCATTTTTCATTAGTGAATAATTTCCTTATGTTTTCTTGCACATGATTTTTATTATAGTCAGATTTATTCACTACTCTCTCTCTCTCTCTCTCTCTCTCTCTCTCTCTCTCTCACGATCAAATTTGAATGGAGCTGTTGTCTTTTTAATTGCAGCTATCCAGTATTCTCTTCCATCTTCAGGTACGTGATTTGTAAACGTATCTGAGAGCTCAAAAAATAATCCACTCTCGTTTGATCCGAGAAGTTGACACCAAAAATTTGCATTCCTCCAGGTTCTTTTTTCAGTGTCTAAAGAGAAAATAAAATATAAAATATTAAATTGTTGCTTCATGAATAACAACACTCTTCACAAATAGAATGCTGTCCATATTTACTTATTTAAAATTTGATTTTAACACCATCTTATGAGTAAAAATTATTTTTCACTTTTTCCAAATTTTAAAATCAGAAGAGATTGCACTCGAAAAATTGTGAATATTAATAAATATATTGATCAGAGTATCTAAGGAAGTTGATTTTTCTAACCCAACAATTTATATTAACTTAGTATTGTTTTCATTGATGTCTACCTATTGCGGCGCAATGTTTGGTGCATGGTATTTTGATTTATTTAAGGTATTGCATTAAATTGCTTTCATATAATATATATTCATTCTAAGACTTTAATGACATTTATATTCAAAACTTTCAAAATTCTTTAATGAACATAAACTGACATTAATCATGAAAAATGACGATAACAAACAGGAATTGTCAAACGTCCATAGAAACAATACTAATTGGGAGCATACCAAACACGGACCTCTAAAAAACAGAGATGGAATCGGGTGCTAAGGAGAAGTAAGCATCCTCTTTCTACCAGTTACCCTGTGCACTGCCGTGTGCTCCTTGTCATGATCCGGCAAACGGAACAATCCGTAGAAAATTCAACGTAAATTATAATAGCCTAACAATTTATGAAAAACGTCAGTCAACATTCGACTAAATGATATTATTTGCTGACAAGGTTATTATATTGACCATAGTATTTGCAAAATGTAAAACGAGACTGTTGATATCCTTGTTTCATCCACCTGTTTGCCAATAGCTTGCCTCGTTTTAGAAATTGTTCGTATATAGATATAATGATAATATACTGACATAAATAATACTGACATTAATAATATACTGAAAATGAACATTAACTGACATTGATCACATACAATTATTAATAATATATTGACATTAAATATATCTTGACATTAAATGAAGTAAACGTACATGATTATGTAGCCATATTACTATTGTATCTTTTACTGCAATTTCTTAATATATTATAAAATTGAATTTCTTATTGATGCATCGTAATTGAGGTACCTAGCTAGAGTAAAGAGGTTAATAGTTTATTCTTAAATTAAGGTTGTGTGATAAACCTATTTCTAATGTTTAAACTTTGAATTTTACAATGATGAAAAGGGAATACGAGACGTATCTAACACCACGGCTGCCTTATATGATTGGTTTCTATGATAAGAGCAAGAACCATAGCAATTAATGTAAAAACGCCATCTTATCATGAAAACCCATCAGATAAGGCCGTTTTGGTATTCCACAGAAAGATGTAAATTTTGCAATTACATGATATAAATTTCACCGATCACATTCATAAATTGGTTGCGATTGTCCCTCGTAGCATATATTAAGTACATGTACATGTATATAGGAAATGATAGGATATGATCTTACAAAAAGTAACTGAGATTTCTATAATACGAGACAAGCTATTGACAAACAAGTTGATGAAAAAAGAATATCAACAGTCTCGTTTGAAGTGATCATTTCGCAAGTTTTATGGTCGATACAATGATCTTGTCAACAAATATCCTACCATTAAGCCAAATGCTGACTGAAGTTTTTCATACTAATTGTTATGCCATAATTTACACACTGAATTGTCTACGAATTTTTTCGTTTTTCTCGATCATGACAAGGAGCACGCGGCGGGTGATATCGGTCGGCAGGGGATGCTCACTCCTCCATAGCACCTGATCCCGCATCTGATGTTGGAGGCCTGTGTTTGCTCCGCTTCCGTTTTGCATTGTTTAAATGGACTTTGAGCTTAAATACTGACCGTTTTTCCATAGCTCACATAGCATATTTAGTATTGATAAAATTATAACAGATTTAAATAGTTATATTCAATTCTGTGATTTTTTAACATTACACAGAAAAATAGTTTTCTTACCTATCTGTACATCTAAGGCCGAGCTCTCTTTAGGTGATATTGTTAACAAAAATAGGAATCCTATCATTATAGCAGATATGAGTGAGCGAAGAAGACATCTAATTCCCATTATGCACTGACTCCATGATGAGGGTAAACGTGTGAAACTTGTTAGAGACAAGCTTTGTTACAAAGAATTATTCAAAAAGATTTTCTTTTAGCTTGGTATGTTCATATTCTTGTATTCCCACTTCGAAAAATATAGAAAACATTACCGTACAAATGTTCGTTTATGCTGCATACAGGAAACCCGTTTCAATTTCCTGTATGATACATCTCAAAGGGCGTAAACAATCAAGAAGGAAAATGTACATGTTACGCATCAATTCGTATAATTTTCATTTCAGTCCTTTTTATATAGAAACTTTAAAATCAACCCCATGAAAATTTCCTCAACATCTTAATGTCTTTTATACGGTAGCTGGTATAGGACATGGTATGAGAATTTTTTTTATTAATTCGTGGCCACGAAATAAAATTCGTGGGAACGAAATAAAAATTCGTGGGAGCGAAATAAAATTCGTGGGAACGAAATAAAATTCGTGGCCACGAAATAAAATTCGTGGGAACGAAATAAAATTCGTGGCCACGAAATAAAATTCGTGGGAACGAAATAAAAATTCGTGGCCACGAAATAAATTTCGTGACCACGAAAAAAATTCGTGGCCACGAAATAAAAATTCGTGGCCACGAAATAAATTTGTGCTACATAATGCCATTTTTAGCTTCTTCTGTGTTATGTCATTCAAGATGAACGAACTTATATATATTTATCATTTAATTGGAATGAGCCAACGGGATATATGTGTAATGAGCAGTGAGATTCGATGCTGTTACGTAGAACATGTTTCACATGAGAAGTTATACTCCTAACATGCTACGATTTTGTGTTTTTATTTCATTACAACTATGTGACAGGATTCAATAGAAAATGTGAGAAAACAGCAAATAAGCCCTTAGAGTCATTAATGTTCGGGTTGCCTTGACTAATATCAGGAACAAAACTTGCCAGAGTTATTATAGTTAAGAAAAATACATAACTTGGCTAATATAAAATTGTCCCTGTGTATCATATCATCTAAAAAAAATCGTGACTTCATGCTGTGTCATGTAGCATGATGACAAGCTGAAGAGAATACTTTCATTTTGTTTTATCATTTGGTTAGGATGTCATTTTGGATGCAGTATCATTGAACTGCCTTAAACTCCAGAACAGTCAATTGAATCGGCTTGGATGTCTTGTTTTAATTTTGGGCACAGAGCAAAAGAGAGAGTTTATTATTATTTTTTTTTTACATCTAGACTATGTTCATAATGCATGTACCAATTCTCAGCTGCTTCTAATATATATGCAAATTAAATATATGGGTATTTATAATGATGTTTATCAGTGCGGGCCAGTTACAATAATCTAACTGTGTCTGTGTGTCATGGAAAAGACTCTCACTAGGTCCATAGCAAATTATCATTTTAACACTATATGTACATATAATTGTGAAATAAAAATTCGTGGCCACGAAATAAAAATTCGTTCCCACGAATTTTATTTCGTTCCCACGAATTTTTATTTCGTGGCCACGAATTTTATTTCGTGGCCACGAATTTTTATTATGTGGCCACGAATTTTATTTCGTGGCCACGAATTTTTATTTCGTGGCCACGAATTAATAAAAAAAAATTCTCATACCATGTCCTATAGCAGCCACCGTACTTTTATCTCACATGCACAGTGCTTTATAATTATGCTAGTGTATTCTGCACCACAGACTTCTCTGCATTTGGTTGTAATGCTTCACTAGTCTCCTAGCAGTCATATATATCATAATGTTGTCAGATGCCATTTAATAAATTTCACAAATGTAACTTAAAACAGATTTGTGATAAAATTATTTGAGATTGGGTTTTAAGTAGATGTGATAAAATATTAACAATTCAACAGTTCAAGTTCTCTAGAATATCATTTATGTCGACATACAACTTTACACATGTACGACTAAAAATATTTGACTTGTAATATGTATTTTAATCTGAATGACAATACAAAGCAAAATTATTAACAGTCTGTTTGCTAAACGTACATGAGTAGAGAACAGATTTCCAACTGGTGATACATTTTCAATATATCGCAAAATAAGTCCATTATATGATCTGAACCATCGGTCAGGGCCAGGAATTTCACAATGTTTATAAGGATATTGAGCAGTAATCATAATTATATAAACACTTCGCCTGCTACATAAATGTCCATAAGCAAAGAAAAATACTTTACAAGTTAAAAATGACCAATTTACTATCCTGGAGCTTCAATCCTGAACCCAAGGGCCACAGGTTTCTTGATGAAGAACTCCTTGCTTATTATATCAAGTAAAAATTTTGACTGTGTGGTTGTGCCGAGGAGTAAATAATAAGGTTTTCGAAAATTGGATCAATTTTGATGGTTTTGGCCACAGCATTCAGACCATAGGGAGACAAGATCAAGAAATTCACTATTTTGTTCCCCTTTACACATATTTATCAAATCATTCAAGCGAAGCTGAAATCCTTTCGTTTTACAGAAAAGCTGAAAATATTTTAAAAATTCCCATGAACAAATTTCCTTTTTCATTAGAATTACAAAATAGTCCAAAACAATGCTGATTTGGCTAATGTGTTACATAGCAATATTTACCTTCCATTTCTTGCCTTTGATGTGTTACAGCAACTTTTCTAGATAGATTATACATGTATTTTACAATAATAAAGTAATACATTGAAACAATATTCGTCAAGGTTGAATGCTTTTATTTCCTATTCAATTATAATCACAAGTGATGTAATATAAAAAGGGGGTTTTTTTCGTAAGGAAAAAATTCCCGAAACCCTTTGATGAGATCAGTAGCAAAGATGTATAAGCAAACGGCAAAGGTTGTTTTTTACTACGCACTGACGTTAATTATGTGAAGAAAGTATGCCTTACATATAAAGATTGTATACATGTTCGAACATACACCCACCATACGCTATCAACTTACTAAATGACCCAATATCAGATATGTAAGATGTACATTGTACATGAATGGTTTTAAAAAAACCAACAGAGAACGAAAATTTAATACAGTTGTTCTCGGTAGTTACATGTAGATAGCAAATTATTCACAGAATTACAGTGAAGAAGGAGACTGACTATTCTCTCTACGAAATAGAAATAAATACAAATAATTCGCAGATATTACGAACATTATGATTTATTCCTTCATGTATATATACTCGAAAAGTCATGACAACAAAATAAATCGACAAACAGGCTCTGAGTCAAATGCTATAAAATAGCTAAATTCAAAGATTATCATTTTCAAACACCATTAAAAAAGGTGTTACGTGGGATAACGGGAATATAATTTCAGCAAAAATCAGAGGGGCAAGTTTCGCCATCATCATGATTTTCCCCTTTACTTCAGTAAATTTTATTTCATACTTTTTGTTGTTCAAATCTGTTGAATAGAATTTTGCAATGACGTCACTGAGCACCATCATCGACGTCTCCCGCCCAGTCCCCCTCGTCCTCCACCACGTGGTTACTCTTCCCACTTTTCACCGCCTTCTGCTCGGGCGATTTGATTGGCACTGCCGGGGACTTTGGTGGAATTGAGGGAGTCCTCACTTGAACGTAATCATCCAAGTCTCGCTGCAGAGCAATGTCTGAATATTTTCCTGACGAGGTTCTCGGAAGGGGAGGGTGGTATACTTTAGGATTATTTGCTGTGACTAGCATTTGCAACACAAAAGTGTCCGAGCAAGGATTTGGCACTCTAAGTATATTTTTGGGCAAAGTAATTTGTTTTCCGCTTTGGGTCATATGTAAATCTGGCGGCAATTTTGCAATCTTCCGGACAGACTTCATATCTGTTTTTCTGTCTTTCATAATCACGTTTTCCCTGTGCTTTAAATTTCTATAAGGATTGTTAAAGGTGCGCAATCCATTATGTGAGGAAAAAGCTTTACTATGCGACGGCAAATTTTCATCGTCCTCGTGGTTTCGGATATTTCCCGGGGTATGGTGGTTGACATGGATACATGTCAACAAAGCTTTTCCAGATTCATGATCTTTTATAATTTTTTCCGTCATTTCGTGCCTCGTCATCATTTTAGTACTGGACTTTATTGGCCGGAAAGCCATATAATCAGCTGATCTAGGATGACTTGATAATTTTTCGGATTCGTTTACCCCTTTAAAAGATTTCGTGGTCAGCTCAATCGGGGTAGCATTAGAGTTGGATTCTGATAAAGGTTTCCTGGACACTGCTGATGACGGCACGACATGGACGTCTGATCGATGACTAGAATAATCTAAAAGATCTGACTTCGCCCTTCTCGCACGAGACACTAGAAATGGGGGTTCTGTTCGCACTTTTGCGGTTTTAACTCCGTGCCGCACTTTATACATTTCATGGGCAGACGTTTTGAAATTCCCTGTTCTGTTTTCGGAAAGATATTTCTCGAGAGATTTTGCTGACACGCCATTGACAGGTTGTCCGCAGAGAACGAAAAAGGGTTTTTCTTCAATAACACTATCTTCACACACAATAAATGGCGAGTCCATGGTAGAAATACCAAAATTTGCATGCTGAAGACGGCCAAGATACTCCATTCTTCTGGAAGCAGCTGACATTCCTGCAGCGGCCAATTCCAGAGAATGGCGTGACGTCTGTTTCAAGATGATTTCATAGGATTTATCTAATGTTAGTATCGTGCTTGTTACCATTGGACGATTGGCTCGTGACGTCGCCATTACGGGAGATGACGCGGGCGTATTTCTCGGTGCTGGTGCTCCTTTCACTTTCAGTTTTTCAATAGCTGTCGACATCTTTCAGGATGTGAATGCTTAAAAAACAACAAATTAAACATGATAAATACATACCTACATATAGTATGATATATTTATTTCAAGAGTAATATAATTAAACTTTAATAATCAGTACTAAAAGAGATTGGAAAATGGAAAATGGAATTTATCAAACTTACGTATTCGAAACACGGACACTTCTTTCAGTATCTAATTCCATATCTACTAAATGTTGTTTTACTTAGAATCCGGCTTGAATTAATATATTGAGTAATTTTTAATTAATTGTCTGTTTCCTCGTGGTAACGCGATGCATATGTTAGTCTGCACCAGGATTACCGTTTAAAGCACAATAACTTTGTAACCAATGCAATCACTTGTCAATTGAGAGATTTTAATCCTTTTATTTTACCCTGATATTGAGATCTTAATCACATTAGCGATGTAAAAGACAGCTCAAGATTTATACACCCCAGTTAATATGTACAGGTAGAATACCATTCCAGTCTAGATTTTTATATTTTTACGGTTTCTGTTTCGTCGGTTAGATGTGAAGCTTTATTTACTTTATATAATCTTTCTTCATTATATCCCCCAAATAAATGTGAAATATGTTGATTTTTTTTTTTTTTTTTTTTTTTTTTTTTTTTTTTTTTTTTTTTTTTTTTGGTAAATATGTGTAAGTACAACATGTACAAGTAATTTTAAACAACACAAAAATTTTTATCTCCAAATCGTAAATCTCAGTTTTGTTCACTTCGTTTTAAATCATTTCTCAGTGAGGAGAAAGACCTTCATTGTGTGTCTATAAAACGTAGGTACGTGTTGGGGGAGGAGGGGGGGGGGAGGCAAAGAGTTAAATACTTGTAACATAATAAACTCTCCCTCTCTTGTGTTCAATCCGGTAAAGTATGTGAGAATGGAACTTCCTCCAAACCTCCAGAGTGGGCAGCAGAGTTCGACTTTTTAAACTTAAGAAGTCTAAAGGTGTATGATCTAGATGTGTGATAAATTTAAACGGCTGTCACCTGTCTACTAAAGGCCTTTTAGTATATTACGCGTGTCGGAGATGTTTTACAAAATTGGCAGGGGGTTTTATGCAGCACTTTATACATGAAGTCAAGTTCATCTGATAAATGGGGGGAAAATAGCATATAAATGACTGCATGAGGGGTTCGTGCTAAATTTACAAGCCGGTGTACAAAATTTCACTTCTATCTCTTATTTTTTTGGGATCAATCACTGTTCGTTATCTTCGCCTTTTTCATTAGAAGGATACAATTATTAATAATAATATCAGAATATAAAGAAATTAAAAGATGTCTGTACAATAGACAAGTATCTATCGTATAATTTATATAATATATACATGGTATATTAATATTTTAATAAAATATTCCAACGTGCACCACTACAAAAAATGTCGATAGCGACCGTTCCGGGCTGTTATCCATTTTGATTTGGCTGCATCCACAATAAGAACTTTGGTCTGAAGCTGTACAACGCATCAATATGTGCATATCATGAACATTGAAGCAGCTTATTATATTATTCAGCGACTTTGTCTATCGAGGTTGACAATAAAAACTGATAATTCAAATGCTTACGGAAAAAACTTATGTATTTTTTAATAAAGTTTATTTTGCATATATGATCCGCGGGAAAAATTGACAATGACTTACCTTATAATTTTATTCCCTAAATGTTGACGAATAAGTGTGAGATTTCACGGCATCTTTAGCCGCCATGACTTTTATTGGTGCCAATAGTCTCATTCATGTCTTCGTAGTTCTTGCATAGTTTTTACGCCATTTAGAGTCAGGATCGTAAGCCAGAATCTTGGAGAGTTATCCAGCGGATTATAACTAATTAAAATCAGCTATTAGTATTAGAGAAGAATATTTTGCTGCACAACACATATCCGAAGCCAGCTTGCTGAAATTTGGCACATATACATGTGTAATACAATTATAAAAATCTCCCCGATAGTGGTGTTTAAATCAAAACTTCATACCGTCTTAATAACCTCATAATGACGAGATTCAAAGAAGAGATTAGCTTCTGTTTAACATGCATTTTAATTAACAGACCGTGGACGTTTGTTTAGTTCATTGAAATATATTAATACTGCGTATATATCATAATTTATGTCTTATTATGACGCGAGATCAGTGTTTTGATATTTTGCAAGGCTGCTATGTTTTCAAGATATTTTTCAGATAAATTTGTTGAGTAAAAGAAATAAGGATTGTCTCTCTTTCAAATTATTTTTTTTTTACATTCAGAATCTGATGAATAAAATAAAATTTGAGTTTTAAAATTAAAAGAACTTTTTTGGACTTGAATGTGAAATATCACAACTGTATCAATTCAATGAATCGAAAAAAAAAAGTTTCTTTTCTTGTAATGTATATGTATATAGAAGTAATAAATTTTACCAGACATTTAAATTTCTAACGGTTAGGGATTTGTAATGAAAATCACAAATCCAAAAGTGCACCTAAGTAACACAAAACATTGATTTTTACCCCACTGAAGGTGTCGTTTGCAATTCAAATGTCGTCAGTGTAATATATCAACACATATCCCTCTGTTTAAATAACTTTTTGAAGTAATCTAGGGCATCATTTTTGATAACACAAAATTGGCGCGCCGCTTGGTTTTTGGACTTTAGCGTCATGGAGAACTTTGCCTCTATTGCTGTCACCAAGAAATCAAAAAATGTAGTTAGAGATCGAGGAAGTTAGGCTTACAAGTACAGCATCTGCCGTCCTTTATGGTAAGTCTCTCTCTCTCTCTCTCTCTCTCTCTCTCTCTCTCTCTCAGAATAATGAAAATATAGATAATTGGGTTATTTGATTTTTCAATTAGTTTTTTTTAAACAGGCGCAAAAATATCAATAGGCAATGGCACCATCAAACAAAAAATATCATCGATACAAGTGTCTTTGATAAAAGTGATAATCGGATATTCATTTTATACAATTGATTCATTTTTTGAAAAAAAAAAAAAAAAAAAAAAAAAAAAAAAAGAAAGAAATTACGCAAAGTATAAATATAAAACTCAAAATTAGTAATGCATTTACTTGACAACGTTATCTAGATAGGGGTAGAAACATTGTTTCATATCGGGATAAACAAATATTAATTTTTGTGGGGTTCGTAAAAAAGTTTGGGAGAAGAGCAAATTCCCCAAGGGGGTCGCACAAAATATCTACGAAATTAAATTCTAGGAAGGATGTCTTAATTCGCTATCGCTTCAGCTGTATTTTTGTTTAGGTTATTCATATAACCTCATGTGTTGCTGATTTTATTACATATGTACTAGATCATTTTTCCCAAAGCATCCCTATTCCGTGACAATACGTTTAGGTAAAGCATGTAACAGGTATTACATTATTATAGTAATAATTAAGTAGTAAGTATACGTATATGAATGTAAGTACATGTAAATGTAGTTTATATACCATTTATAAGATAAAGATCGAAGCATGTAATGTTGGCACGTGATCAAATTAACATCGCTTTAAGTTGAATACATTCACAATAGTGTGTCAATATGAATAGAGTGTCTTTTATAGAAATTCCAATGAAACCAAAAAATAATGAAAATGAAATTTATCTCGAAGAGAGTTCTATCACGTAAGAGACCTCTTTTCATCCAATTTTATCGTGTTTTTCATTTTAATGAATGTCTGTTCGTCTTTACTTTCCGTTTTGAAGGCCATCTCAATATAAATGTTTGTGAACGATCAATATTTTGTTAGTAATTTTAGACAACAATCTACTTTTCTGCTTTTCGTTCCCATTAAGAGTTACAAGTGTAAATATTTTAAATCCCATTATTTTGGGGGAGAGTCCCAATCATTTGTGATATAATATCTGCTCTAGTCCAATATACATTTCAATTAGGCACGTTCTTTCATTTAGCGTACGTGAAAGTTAAGTCCGTAATATCTTTAAATAATTGTTCAGATCACTTGATCAAAACTTTTTCTAAATTCCATTTTCATAATCCAGTTTGTATAAGAGACCATTTAAAACGTCTATAAAGCGATTTGTAGGTATGAAAAACACAGCTCAATATCGTGGCACAATGGACGGTTTTACCTGCACAATTTAATGGTTTTAGGTATTGTGTTGGTTGATATGTGATAATAATCCACTATAGCAATGCATTCTTTTTGCAGATGATTGGATATTAAGCTGAAAGCTGGCCCTTAGCAGGAAAAAAAAAACGAAGTGAGAGTGGTCACCATTTGAAGCGGATTTTTCTTATAAAAAAAGTGATTATGAGTAGGTTTTTTCATTATGTTGGATTTTTTCACGAGGCACTATGACGACTCAAATTAACGACAGAACTTTACGGATTATAAGCAGCTCGTACAGTAGCTTGTTTCCCCCGAGAAATTCACCAGAAAAACCGAGCGATAAAAAAATTAAAATACCGGACAAAAAGACGTTGGAACGGATCCACAAACAAATATTTTCCGGGGGTGTGCGCGCGCCAACTCTGGCAGATATCAGCACTGGGCACATCAGGTATCCCAGTCGACAAGGTAATATGGAATCTCCGCTTCGATATCAGCTAAATATTCACAGTAAACACATCGGTGGAAGTAAAACGACGATACAAAATCTGGAAATGGAGCGGAGCAATGTGTCCTTGGGAAGTTTTGGAAGTTGTCCTAAAATGTATAAATTCTTACTTCCGAATGGCTGTATGAAGTCTTCGGAAGGCGAATCCTCTTTTGAGAATAAGGCTGAGAAAGACGAGTGGGAGAAATGGCGGGATTCTGTGGCGGGTGTGAGGGACGCCCGTGATGTTCTGTACAGGTATTCTGTAAGCAGAGACAGGGAAATCAGATACAATAGCTCCACGTTACCGCACATCCCAAAGGAAAACAGACCCTGGACGGCGGGAGAGGAAACACAACCGAAAATTCGTAAAAACAATTTAGTTCTCGATTTCTCCAAAGAGTCGAAGTCTGATAAAACACATAACGTTCCACAGCCTCATCGACAAGCAGCACTCAGCAGGACCCTTCGCAGAAAATTTTTAAAAAGTCGGGATAACTCACCGGAAGTGAACTTTTTAGAGGTAAAACGCATCACAGCAAATCAAGATATAACTAAGGGCGAATTTGGCCAATGCACAACAAATGTTCAGCAACCCATCGAATTTCATGGAATAGGAATTACGAGAAATCGGATGGAACGACCATTAAAGCATGAAAATCTCTACGGACGTCCCATGTACCTTTCCTACAAACATTATGTACAGGTCCCGGCCATTCCTGTTGTGGCCACAACAAAAGAGTACAAATCAGTTGATGCATATAAACAATACGTAGAAAATCTCCAAAACAACGTTATTGTGGAGGGACAGAAGCCAGGATTGCGGGAAAGAGAGAAAAGCGACCTTTCGCAATATGGTCAGGAGAACCGCATTCTTCAGTCTGTTATTAATGTCAATCAACCAGCTGAACCAATCGATTTGCAGGAAAGTCATGACGTCAAACCTGTCGCCGAAAATGACGCAGAGAATCAAACGAACAGGTCGAACCTCTCTGTCAACAGAAACGAGGAGGCACACACTAATCGGTCAAACAAATCTATCGTTGTGGAAATAAAGTCCACGTGGAGGGAGAGAGAAAACACGGACGAACACAACATCCAGGAGCAAGGTGAACCTGTCGCGGACACTTCACACCTTCAGGATGAGGAGGATGTTATTAATGATCCCCATTCCTCTAAGACATAAGTCAAAATACCATATTCCGTGTTTCATGCATGTTGATACTTTTTTTTCATTTTCTTATGTGTTCTATTCTGTAAGATGCTATCATGTGAAAGTGGAAGTCTTTCGTTAGTCAGCCTTTCAAGTATATTTGTACAAGCATATTGACGGGCGGACAGTTTTCGGACACTTCTTTTCTTTGAGTCGGACAAAAAAAAATGTCTAGGCATCTTAATCAATCAAAACTTTTACAAAGTGTCTCTATTTTTTTTTTATTTTGCTCATGAAAATTTGAGAGTGTGTTTCGTATGGATGAAAGGCGAATGCTTGGTTAATTTAAATGGTTATTTTAAATTCTTAAGAGGTAGAGTAAAAATTATTGAGTACTTTGGAAACAATGTTTTTTTTCCTTATAAATGCTTGACCATTCTACAGCGATTAAATGTAAACGGCGAAGATAATGAACATTGATCAATTTCATAGATACAGTAGACAAAACGAACAGGACAAAAACACGGACCCCTGAAACACCGGGGGTGGGATAAGGTGCCTAGGGGGAGTAAGCATCTCATGTAGACCTGTATCACCTGACGTGAGTCTTATGTATTGATCAGATAGACTGAGTACTCAGTCAAATTCAGTATAAAAGCAATAACAATTGGTATGAAACGTCGGACAAAATTACGATCCCATGATAGGTTGTATTTACAAACAAAGCCATTATAACGACCGTTGAATTTGAAAGATGACTTTAAACAGTGTTGTGGTAATCATTGTAACATCAACTTATTTGTCAGTAACTTGTCCCGGTTTAAAATTGATCGTACTCAGAGCATGCTCTTGCGTATCGAATCAGCTGAGGGACATTATCACCTTATGTACTGGTTATGTTGGAATGTTATTTTTCATTATATAGCTAATAAATAGTCTTTTATTAAAAAACTATTTAAAGTCTAGAGAATTTTAGCGTTTAACATCTTTGCGTTTTATTGAGCGCTGAGTTGTATATGAATATGTCCGAAACATTCTGAATATGAGCGTTCAGTATCGAACGCCCCGTTGTAAACAAACAAATGTCGTCTGGTCAACCTCTCAAAGGCAAATTTATGATAGGTAGTGGGAGCTAGGTAAGATGTGTTTATTTTCATGCAAAATTGAAATTATCAATTAAAATTTAGTACGTATTAGCCTCAATAAAACCTCAATAAGCATATCATAACGCTTGGTAGGGTTATTTGGATGATGCGAATTGAACACTTGCAGTACAGACGTTAATTCAAATATATACCGATACTTAAAATTCTTATTAATTTGAGTTATTTAGATGAAATAACTAGTATGAATCAATTGGAGATATTTTAGCTATATAATAAAGGGGTTATTGAACTTATATTGGTGAATATTGGCGCTCGCAAACTCGTTTATCTGTAAGCCATCATTCTCGTGCCAATATTCACCAATATAAGTTCAATGACACTATGATATAATTATAATAAGGGAAGTTGACGATGAAAAACTGAAGTTATCCCGTTTGTGATAAGAAACTCAAAACAAGAAATAATAAAAGCAGAATATTTCTTTGGACGTCATAAGCGGAAAGAGAACGGTGTCGGGTGAATAACCTTATAACAAAAAATCCTTTGGTGGGCTATGATTTTGCTATTCTTTGACTGTAGATCTATATAAAATTTTCTTTCTATTGTTAATTTGCTAAGAAAAGGAAATTGTCGAAATTAACAGGAAGGTATTGTACCATTTTTGTCCCCCGCTTTAGCGAAATCCAGGGGACATCAAATCTCATTCGTCTGTCAGTCAGTCTGTCTCACAAAAACTTTGGGTCATAACTTTTGAATGACAAGAGATAGGGCTTTCATATTTCACATGTACATTACCTGTGACAAGATCTTTCCAAATATACTTTGATTTTTGACCTCATTACCTTGAAGTCTGACCTACTTTTCAAAAAAAATTGTCTTTGCTTATAACTATCGATTGAGAAGAGAAAGCTTAAAGGGCTTTCATATTTGACTTGTGCATTACCTGTTACAAGGTGTTTCCAAGCATGCTTGGTTTTTGATGACCCTTTGACCTTCATGTTTGACTTAATTTTCAAAAAAATTTACTTTGAAGATTACTTTTGAAAGACATATGATAGGGTATTCATATTTGACAAGTGCATTACCTGTGTTAAAATGTTTCCGAATATACTGTAAATATTTGACCCCGTGACCTTGACCTTAAAGTTTGCTTAATTTTCAAACATTTCATCAATGTTGTTAACTTTTGAAGCAGCGAAGATAGGGCATTCATATTGACACAAATGCATTACCAGTGACAAGCATTTCCAAATGTACTATGATTTTAAATCCCCATGAACTTGAAGCTTGACCTAATTTAAAAAAAAAAACATTGCTGATAACTTTTGGTTGAGATAAGATATGACATTTACATTTGACATGTACAGTACCTGTTTCAAGACCTTTTCGATTGTATACTCTGGTTTTGATATTTTTTTTAAAATATGCATTACTTGTGACAAGACCTTTCGGATTTTATTATGATATATGACCTCATGACCTTGATCTTGACGTTTGATGTAGTTTTGAGAATTCTTTGTCATTTATGTCTTTTTTGTATAATGCACAGTCAAGACAGGACACACAATCAAGACAGTTACAATATGCCATAAATAATGGCATTCCATCCACTAAGACACCGAGAGCGGGGGACCACAATTCTTTGAATTTGCTCGTTTTTTGAATATGATTGTTATTGCGTTATCTTTGTCGACGGTCAGAGATCTCGTCCTGAACGAGAATTCGTCTTTAGCCCATACAGTACTCCTCTATATCCACATCAAAGGCAGATTGAGAATTCCAACCACTGACACTTTCAGCACTTAAGAAAACATAAGCGCTCCAGCGTCTGTGCCAACATTTTATGCCTTTTTTTTCTTGGTAATTAAAGTATATCCTCAATAAATATTAATTTAATTTAAATGTCTTTGTTCAGGGGATTATCTGTGTAGCACAACAATTCAACACTTCAACAAGTGAGAGATTTTAATGAATTGACCAGTCCTCTATCGTCTGGATTATGAACAGAATTTGAATCTGATCAACTTATTAACGTTAAGATATCTTTCTCGCCTTTAAAGTTTTAGAAAAGAAAATTTACTCAAAGTTTATACATGAGCTAGGAGTACTTACTTCTTTTTCTTCGTGTATAAAACCTGAAGATTACATTCTTCGATTCAGAACTACATTATACATGTATGTACTGGATTATTTTCGTTGCTAGATATTATTCTTTTTCATATTATGATTCATGTTCACAAATAAGTAACTCTTCAACTGAAAGTTTAAAGAATTATTTATCTTCAAAAGGAATTTAACTCAAATTGTAAACTAAATTTGCCCCTCGTGCGTGGATCTTTTGCTTGTCAAGAAATTTTCTGCATGGGTTTGATACATTTGGGAATTTTTTTTTTTTTTGGAGGGGGGAGGGTTAAAGATAATGGCTATATTATTTGTCCGTCACAGTCATTCCATGGCAAAAGGAACACATTTTTTTCTAAAATTGCTTTTGATTAACTCAAGGATGTAGTATTGTTTTTCAAATAGGGGAGGGGCAACCAAAACGAAACCATAAAAATGAGGGACATTTTGAAATTCACTGATACATGTACATGTAGTACGGACCTGGGATGTTCATGACAAAAACGATCACTTTAAGGTTTTGCCAAAGGTCAAGATGTCCAAAAATTTATTTTTACAATAGCTCCAAAACTATATGAGGTATAAAGTTAAGACTTTTACAGTTTATAAATATATTATTGATTAACAGATAGAAAATATCACTTAAAAACAAATATTCAAAAAAAATATTTTTTGAGAAAAAAAAGTTCAAAAAATTTGCATATTTTAAAAAAAATGCACCTGCTTAATTCTGTACTTTTAGTGAAAACCATCATTGAAGAAATAAAATATGTTTATCAATGAAGGGCAAGTTGGACGTGAATGGTCTCTGAAAGGCTGTTATTGAAAGGGTGACATGCGTAAAGACAAGACCCCTATAAAATCTTGCAATGTACTTTCGGTTTCAAATCTTAACATTTGGACAAAATAAACATGGAAAACAACTTTCAAGAGGCTATCGAAGTCCAACTTGCCCTTCATTGATAAACGTATATTGTTTCTGCAATAATGGCTTTCACTAAAAGTACGGAATTAATTAGGTGTATTTTTAAAAAATATATGCATTTTTTTAAAAGAATTTTTCCCGATAAATACTTTCTTTAAGTATTTGTTATCAAGTGATACTATCTGTTAATCAATGATCTATTTATAAACTGTAAAAGTTTTAACTTACCACATAGTTTTGGAGCTATTGTAAAAATAAATTTTTGGACATGTTGACCTTTGGCAAAACCTTAAGGCTTATTTCTAGACACAGTGGATTTTATTTAATATAATATTGTAGAGGATTTTATCAGTTTTTCACATTTAGGTGTCATGTGACCAAAATCATCCCATTTGTTCACTAAAAGTCCAACTATTATCTAATTTGTTATATCTGATGCGGGGGTTTAAACCGACTAGATTTATTTTTTTCTAATTTTAAAAGGGACAATAGGGCATACGCCTGTTTTAAAAGCAAGATTATGTTTAAAGAACCTAATGGGTTTATATTTTATGTTCGAGAAAAACTAAGAACTTTGAAAATAATACATGTAGATTATTCGTCAGTTTTAGATATCTCGAACCCACCTGAGCCAATTGTCTTATCTATCTACAATGTATTCTGACCAAATTAATGTTTGTATGTTCTTCTGTATTTGATTATCCGACTTATAACATGTAATAGTGTCACTTTATAGAGCTGCAAAGTTTTACATGGGAACATATTTGGAAATTAAGATCTGAATTTTCCGCATGTCTGTTTTTTAAAATTGAAATCCATTAAATTTTATGTAAATAAAAGTTTAATGACAATTAAATAATGGCCTTAAAACCATTCTGCATCACGTCCAGGGCTTAACAAAGCCTTCTTGGTACAGGATCCTTTACCCTTTCAATATGGTAATCTTTGATTAACAAGGTAGCAAAATTCATAAATTTTGATGACTTAAATAATACAATTAAATTGTAGGCTTAAATTCTCTGTTCACATCTTTATACATATAATCTCAGAATTCTAGATTTATTATTAGAAACACTGAAAAGTTCCATCTGCTTGTCATTTGGGAATTTTTGCCTTTAATTTTGGAAAAACATAGTCAATTTTCAATTGGGACAGGGTCTATTTATCGAGCCTCACAGCATGCAATGAATATTTAAAAGACTTTATATCTTAGGTTCTAACAATATACAGTCGTATTTGGATTCTGCAACGCAAACTACATGTACATGTATATATTAAATTAACTGCTATGAAGTCTTTTGTATTTACATGTCATGCGCGGATCTATAGTCGGGGTCAAGGACGCCCCCCCCCCCCCCGGCCTGGAATTTTCATTTATTTTAATTAATCTAGTAAAGTAACCTACAGATTACTTAATTAGGACCCCCTAGAAAACATTGATTTCTGATAAAATGGTAAGGAGAGTCCTGTATACTGACAGTTGTGTGTATTAAAGAAAGCGGATTGTTGTGAATGTCCAGAAAAGCCTTAGTTTTCGCGTGAAATAGCATAGTTTTGTAATTTCTGAAAATATATACATCATTGACCCCTGCTTCTTATCATTTTCTTTTCAAAATTCAGCATTCTGCTGTAAAATTTTCAGACTTTCCAATAATGTTATATCGTAGTGTCTGAAAATGACATTTAATTAGTGCAGAAAGATCATGTAATTTTGCGAAGAAATTTGGAACTTTTCTTTGTCTCGATTTTCAGTGTATCTATTTCACATGGAATAAGACTGTTTTCGGTTCCATGACTTATTTCGATAAAAAAAATGATGGGGAAGAAACTCCGAAAAAAGATGCCTAAGATATCTTATGCATGTCAAATACATTCGAAGTAAAGTGCTTTCTGATGTACATGTTTACAACTAGCTGCAGAACTCGTCCGGCGGAGAAAAAAATGGTTGGCAGATCGCATATCTACACCCTACTTTTTGAGATAAATAGTGAAAAAAGATAGTAAATACTTAATAAGCCCTATCGAGTTAGTCTCTAAATAAGCAGGGACGTATATATTACTAAACATATACTTGTCCCTGATATAAGCTCGGGTTTGAGAGACACGGAAAAAACATCGGGTACGTTCTACGTTTTGTTTTTTCGTCATTATTTAGAAAGTTTTTTGGGAGAGGCTTCGGATTACTCATGAAAAACATATTAAATATTTTATCTGTGTTAAGGATTTAGCCACATGTTCTACTATTCGGTGATATGTGTGTGGTTATGTGTTTTTGTATACTTGGTAAGTTTTATGACTTGGTTTACGATGTAACCCCCCTACACAGGTAAGATACAGGTGTGTCACGATCCGGGGACACGTTCTTCTTCTATTTACAACAAAACTTCAGAGCGCTTCATGTTGTTACAATGCTTATTACATGCATTGTTAGTTTTACCCAGACAGTAAAAACCACAGTCCTTTTACCAGACAAGACTTAAATAAATATGTGTATGCTCATAAAGTATTTTCTTGTAAACATGGTATTAAAACTTGCAATACCCATGGTCTAAAATTTCTTTCTTAGGCTTACTATTAGAAGAATATATTTTTAAACGTGTACTTAATATGTGTCTTGAAGAAATCTCATAATGTTCAATTGTATATTTATTTTACTGTTATAGTCACAGTTATTCTCAGTTAGGGTTCGAATTATAAGTTTAGTCTATTCTTTCCCACTTAACTCAAATCCAGGGCTTGAAAGGTCTTTTTTTTCAAGTCTGGGAGAGAAATGCTAGAGTTAGAACTGGATGGTGTGTTGGTTTATATACAGATCTTTTTTCCCTGTTATCTAAAGATTGAAATTGTTTTTCATGCATCCAAATAAAGATCTCAACATAAAGGCTTTTGACATTGGTCAGGAATACACTGTATAAATAATTGTGTGGTGGTCAGGCAGGTACATTTGCAGTTGGACAGATACTAGCTAGTAGTTCAATTAGATGAGCACCTGAGTAGTGATTCAGGGAGTCTAGGTTTGAATCCTGGTCTGATTGTAACATTTTTATCCTCTTGGTTACATGCGGTGCTGTGCCATATCCTGAAAGTGACAGGTGAAAGACCTGCTAGAAAAGTCTGGGTGGCCAAGGTGTCTATAGGGGCAAAGACCTGTAAGGAGGGAGGAAAGAGGCAGTCGTTCTATTGCTGGTGGCGACTTAGAGCAAGTCACTAGTGAATTCAAGGGACCACATTGGTTCAGATCCTGGTCTGGTCTGTTGCATTTTTCTCCTTGCCATTTACAATTGATTAATTTTGGACGTATGTAATTGGAACAATTAAATATGAGATTGAAATTTGAAAACACAAAATATCAGGAGTATAAACATGATAAAATGGGGGGGGGGGGGGGGAGAGAGATGATACAGAGTTCTAAATTTAATCACTTTATGCTGCTTATCATTGAGATGTAAACAGTATTTAGAAAAGTCCCACGAGTCAGTGAATCAGTATTGCTTTCTTCTACTTTGAATCCCTGTTTCTTTGCATACAGTTTGTGTGAGTTTTTTTTTTTTTTTTACTTTTATTGATTAGAATTTTAAGTGTAATTTGTGTTGTGTTCACTTGAGATAATACTATTTCATGACATGTATTTGGTATGCAGAGTACTGATATGCTTTGGATGTTTATAACAGCTGAATAGATAAACTTAAGATTTTGATAGAAGCAAAGCAGTTGCAATGTGGACTCCAGACTGTACTATCATGGTTATGTTATCATGGTTATATTACGACCAGGGAGAAAGGATATTTCTGTAATATAATTTGGGATAACTTATGCATTTTTAGTGAGATTTTTACTATATTAAGTGGTATTTATAAAGTTTAACATGGATTTGTTCTCCCTTTACACTTGATAATCTCAGAGTCGGTAAAAAGATCTCTGCTTAGGACATCAGTACAGCGATGCTTGATATACAAATGTCATATAGTATGTTTCATGATGTGTTTGACGATGTTCCAGTGATGTGGCATAATAAGAATCTGTTATTTTATAAGAGATATGTATAAAATGACAATTAACAGTGCATATATTTTCCTGCCCACATGAGCCCCCTATCATCTTTGTTATCCAATGAATCGTGACTGTGGTTCAACACGTTCAATACACAAACTTGTATGACTCACAGTATACAGCTGTAGCAGACTAACATTGATACATGTACACCCAAACCTTCCACATATAGCAGTAGTATAGAGTATGCATATAATTAGTCTGGTCTGGTCCGTGAGTAATCGTTAGGTCTAATCAAAGATAAAACACAAACGGACCTCTTCCATAAAAATATGAAAAGACAGGAAGGCGATAGGGCAGATGGAGCAAATATATAATACGATCATGTGTTACTTAAAAAAAATCAATTTTAAATAACTGTTAAACTTAATGCAAGTCTCAGAATTGTTAAGAAAAATTTAGGTAGTATTAGCACTAACTCCTTTTTTCAAATTGTACATGTTGTAATTAAACTGAAAACATGGCTGATGTGGTAAACTGCATTTATCTAGTAAATAGAATTAATTAAACTGAAGAGATGCATTCTTACATTATATAGGGAAGGGTGAGGAGGAGGCAGAGAAAAACTGTATGAATACATATTATTTATTATCTATAAAACAAAAACAAAAAAACCCATTGTTTTGAAAGCCCAGCATATTGTCTTCTTAATAGTGATAATTCTGTTGATGACAGAAGATAAACTGATCATTTGATCATGATATGTACAGTCCTAGTGTCACTGTCAGGCCCAGGGGTGTGTGTAATACATGTCCCATCCCCCCGGGGCTAAAGGTCAGGTCAGATCTATACCATCAGTCTTATCAGGAAGCTCAACGACAGACTTCCTGTAATTTATAATTAAATGAAATATAAAAATGGGCATAAAAACAATTGAATTATACCTATACATTATATAGCATATGTACTTTGTGAAATAAATGTACCGGTAACTGGTGAATGAGTTAAATAAATTACTAGGTTTAAAAATGAAATCGGAAAAGAAATTGAGGTCAATGTGATTGATACGATCCACGTCAGAAATTCGGTAATCTGTCAAGAAAATTCTTCTCAACACAGATCAACAAATCATTAAGTGTGTAATGCAATTTGGATAAATAGTTACTCATGATCAATAATTGTTAAAAAAGAAGTCATATTAATTAAGTGTTTATGGTTCGGGCAGGTGGTGTATTAATTAGTCACTGCAGGTGCATTAATACAAATTTTGCTCCATGTATTTTATGACCATGGTATACATGGTATGCACATTGCATGTTTCAGTAGTTAATTAATTTGTCACAAACATTCATTGGAAAATCATGCACATTCATTTGTATTAATATAAGAAAATGCTTTGCAAACATAATATATAAGTGGGTGGTGTGTATCAAAATATACATGTATTTTCTATATGCATGTAATTATTGAACAGATTTTTAAAAGAAATATGACTCATAGCCCATAATCATGATAATTATGTACAGTTGAACTTCGATCAGTATCTTGAACATGGATATCTCAAATACCAGGGACAGTTGAAGTGATTTTAAGGTCCGAAGCGCTTATTTCTTAAGTATTTTACCCTGGATATCTCGAATCCTTGGATATCTCAAAGTATTTTCTTGGTCCGTTGAATTTTGAGATAACAATTAAGGTTTGACTGTATTTGTTATCACAGCAATGAAACTGTAAAAATGAAGCTGAAAATTGCTAAATCTACATTTGAGGAAGTATTAAAATTCCATGTTGCCTAATTCACTGATTGTTATAAGTCTATGCTTACTTTAACTGATATATGAACATGTCAGTACAATGATTTTTTTTTTTGTTTAATAGGCATGATCATGATGAGTAGATTTTAGATGCCAGTTTATGCTCATGTAATAAAAAAATGTGTTAAATTTTGATAGGCCAGGTCCCAGGAGAATGTCTCCATTGACTCCTCAGAGAATGAGCTGACAGTGAACATAACCGGTGCTGACAGCAGCAAACAGTACCGACTCGGTTACGCAACCGGAACCGAGAACCTGACATGGATAGATCTGGTAGGAGGCGATGCTTTTACTTATCTACACTACACAATTATTGGCTTAAGTCCTGGGGCCACTTATCTAGTCAAGGTGGAGAAATCCGGCACTGAAATTTACAGTCAACCAGCCACGACAAGTAAGTGAAGTAAAGGCCAGAATGCAAGTTTAATATTTAATGTATTGCTAGTTTATGGTTTATCTCATACCTTTGTAACAAAGTTTACAAAACAAAGGTTTATAAATCCATTTCAACTGCCAAGAACAACACATATGAAGTCAATCTCTGAATCAAAGAAATGATTTTTATGCATTTACTTTTCAACTTTTTGCTTGTAAATGAATTTTGAAGTATTTTTGAATAAAATTTTTTTTCTGTCACCTGTAATCAGTAATGTGTTGTTTTCTGACAGTAACTATGGTTACTAGAATTGATAAATATCTTTTAGATCCACTCCAGCCTGTCATTGTCAAGGTCACAGAGGCAGGGACAGATTTCCTGACCATCTCCTGGGAAACGGACACAAAAAGCATTCAAGATGGAGGCCAGGTGTTTCTTTCTTCCAATGGCTCTCAGGTTCAAAAGTTCACGGCAGTCTCAGGAAAACAGGTCAATGCCACCAATCTACTACCGGGGGTTCAATACTCCATCACCGTGGTATCAGTCAGCAATGGAAAAACAAGTAAAGAATCAGGGGCCAAGATTGACAACACAGGTACTAATTAATAAAGAGGGTCATTTTTTTCTTGCCTTGGACTAGAATTACTAGAATGATGCTCTGGGTAATGGATGTCATGTGCCTGCATTCAATATTTCTTTGGACAATGAGCAGAAAAATCTGGATGGCATCATGGCAGATGAATCCACGTTATGTCATCCAAATTTCAAGAAAAAAATCATGCCAGCACCATCTTTGCTTCTAAAAGAAACCAATCAATTCATTATGTCCTTGCTAATTTAGCAATGCTGCAATTAAATTTAGAGTAGTGCCCCTTTTCAGTGACATAATCAGTAAATAGTAAGATATGATGAGTGAAAATTTGGACAGATGAGAAAATTGTTTGTCATTGATCTTGGTAGGTTTGTAACTGTTATTAGTCCTCTACCGAACAAAACACTTAATTGACAAAGTTATTGACTATCCACAGAAATATGATGGGTTATTCAAAGCTAGGTGAATCTTAGCCTTCCATGGACTTGAACAATCCAACATATTTCTATGTACAGTCAGTAACAAACCTTATAAGTAATAGTGTGGTGATATCATCATGGAATACAACCCGGGGTAAATCCCCATGCACCATCATCATGGAATACAACCCGGGGTAAATCCCCATGCACCATCATCATGGAATACAACCCGGGGTAAATCCCCATGCTCCCTTGATTAAACCTGGTTAATGAATTTATTTTCCTATAGCTAAATAAATGTGTTATCCAAGTCCAATCTGTCAATCTATTTGCCTATATCAAACTATAGATAAAATTTACCACTTGCTACAATGTATCCAGTAAGTTCTTGTTCTGCTATTTGAGCTAGAGAAAGTATTCATTGTGACTTCACATTATTTACCTCCGAATTCAGTCAGGTGTATGGAAATTTACACCCAGGTTGCTAACCAATTAAATCTATTACAAGCTAAAAGGAAATTATTGTGTACCTATTTATCCCTGTATTTGTTGTATTTGTCCCTGTTGTATTTGTCCCCATTCTATTTATTCCTCTGTGTCTGACCTCCAACATGTTTGCTGAAATCTAGCAATAATTTTACAGTACCTCTGCCCCCCACTCTAACCTCGGTACAGGCTGTGGATACTAAGACCTTGATGGTGGTATGGAAGACAGAAGGAGGTCATGTAAGTCATTTTTATATATACAGTGGAGCCTCTTTAATCCGGACAGTAATAATCCAAATGCTTCACCTTTAGGACAAAAACTGGGGGGAACAACAGTTACTTATAAATACATTTACCAAGTATGTTTAGGTAATTTGGATGCTTCATTAATATGGTCAATTTTCTTAGGAACACAAGTGTCTGGATTAACAAGGCGTAACTGTATACTAACTTATACAGACTTGTACAGGCTTATGCAGACTTATACAAACTTGTAGAGACTTATGCAGACTTGTAAAGACTTATTAAGACTTGTTAAGACTTATACAGACTTGTACAGGCTTATACAGACTTGTACAGACTTATACAGTCTTGTACAGACTTGTACAGACTTATACAGTCTTGTACAGACTTATACAGACTTGTACAACTCTGTCCATAGTACTACATCTCATCACATCAGTGATCATTAGAAATATATTTCAAATATATAGAACTGTAATTATCATGCACTGTCATAGGGACCATCATGATTATTACATTATTTCATTACTTTACAGGATGATATTTTCCTGACTGCCACTTACAATGACACTAACAATGCCCCGCAGACAGAGAAGCTCACCTGTAGAATGTTGATCCACCTCTGTCTGGTGGATGTCCCGGGGATTCCCGGTCAGAAGTTACTGATCCAAGCCTACACCACTAAAGGACTGAGACAAAGTGCCCCTCACAGCACATTTCACTCCACAAGTAAGCTTTAACTTATTTTGTTGGGAAAGTTTATTTTGGTACTTACAGTCCCTGAAACGTTCTACTTTCCCATTTTTCCGTTCGCTCACCGTTCGTTCACCGTTCGTTCAGCGTGCGTTCACCGTTCGCTCACCGTGCGTTCACCGTTCGCTCTCCGTTCACAGTCTTGCGTTCTGCGTTCACCGTGCGCTCGCGTTCACCGTTCACAAAGCGTTCACCGTTCGCTCTCCGTTCGTTCACTTTGCGTTCACCTTGCGTTCAGCGTTCACTTATCGTTCAGTCTTCACTGTCATTCGGAACTCCGAAGTGAAAGGACCTTTCTTTTTTGGAAGTAAGGATTTACGGGATTTGAAATTTAATAATTCACATATCGTTTTTAAAGGATCATTATTTTATTGGAATAAATTATCTACAATATGCTTTATTATTATTCTAACTGAGCTGTTAGGTTATTATTTAAATTACTCTGGAAAATAAATGTTGTTATAAGTATGTACCTATGTAGAACGATGCTGAAAAATTAAATTTAAATACGGGCAATATAGGGATACTTCAAGCACTGCAACATTTTGCTGTTATGTTAAAGACAAGTCGTTAATGGAGATATAATAATCCATGTCAATTAATTTAGCAACTGCAGGAAAATTAGACAGTATTTATTGCTAACACATTTTTATTCAATTATTATAGAAATACATTATTAGAACCAGTTCTGAGAATTATAAACAGTACTGCGGATATCCAGTTAATTAAATATCTTTGGAGCGAATTGAATTGATAGTGTGGTTCAAGAATATTTATTCAAATGTAATATACTACAATTCATATATAAATTCTACTGTTAGAGAAAAAAATTCCTTTCTTCACAATAACTTTATATGTTTGCCATTCAATATAATTAAGACCCCCCCCCCCTTTTCCACGTAGATCGGTCACTTAGTCAGTATTTCCAGTATATCTTAAATTAATATTTAAAAAGAAGTTAACGCGTTTTGTAGCAAAAAATTTTTTGTCTCAGAACAAACATGCATCTAAAAAGTCATTAAACAATAGTAGTTCAAAATATATACGCTCCGACGGTGGTATTTTAAATTGGCCATGGAGTATGTTTCAAATTCATTCGAAGTGTTTATGCCCAATGTATTTTATTTATTTATTTATTGGAAAAATTGTAATCAGATCTAGAAATGATAAAACAAGTAAAACTTCTTGGAAATACTACAGTGTAGCACTTCGCCTTATGGTGTGATGAAAACTTTCACACCTGCACAGTGTCGAATGATTTTGATTGACAGGACAAGCACGTGGACTTCGTGCGAACTTGAAGCAGGAAAATAAAAACCGATTATGACTGTCAAACAAAGTGAATTTGTTGATAAATAAAAAAAAAAGGTTACTTTCACTGCCTGAGATATTTAGATAAAAATTAAGAGTTTTTGTTTATACAGGTACATGTACATGCATTTGTGAAAAGGGGGGCTAAAGCATAATCTCTCTTTCTCTCTCTCTCTCATTTGTTCGTTTAATCAAAACTATAACACTTATTACTTAATTACCAAGTTCTAAAATTTTAATCTATAACAAATAATATGAATGCTTCTTTGTATCACCTTGTCCGAGTATAATCACGGGAAATTGTTTATAGATACATGTAGAAGTCTGCTGAATAAATCATCATTAAAAAAATGAAAGACAGTCACATAAATATATCATTGCATTATTTTTTTTAAATATGAGGGTATACATGCAATACGTCCACAGACTAGCAAAATATTTTTTTATTTTTTTTTTCTCATTTTTTCGCACGGAATTGCCTTGACACGGAAATACATACTGTACATGTATGGTTGTTACAACCGTTGTAATTCATTCTATAAGTCAGTAATGTACTCTTCGAAAATCATTATTTGTAATGGTTTTATATATCAAATAAGAATAAATATTTATTTTACAACTAGAATGATTTTATTTTTTAAACTACAGCGTTCGGTAACAATGACAATGTTTTACAGCGATAAAAATCGTATGATTAAACAGCTGAATTTAAACATCATACATATGTGCAGAAAATATTGTAAGAAACTTAATTAATAGTTTTACTAAATGTGCATGTTTCATTTTTTAGGACAATTTTTGAATATTTATTTATTTTCCGCCTGACATTAGAATACAATAGAATAGATACAATGCATGGAAAAGATCAGAGGCATTCCGAATAAATCGTTCATCTTGCGTTCACCGTTCACTTTGCGCTCGCGTTTGCGCTCCGTTCGCGTTCTGCGTTCGCTCACCGTTCAGCGTTCACCTACCGTTCACCAAGTTGCGTTCAGCGTTCACACATCGTTCACTCACCGTTCGCTCTGCGTTCACTCACCGTTCGCTCTGCGTTCGTTCAGCGTTCGCTCACCGTTCAAGTGGGAAAGTAGAACGTTTCAGGGACTGTAGGACTGAGTATCATGTAGGCTTGCTACTTTAAATTTTCATTAATGTTTTTAACATAGTCTAAGTGTTAGCTGGAAAATAAATGTTAGGTATTTTGTGCAGCTGGAACCTGGATTGTATTGCATTGTATCACTGTTTTCTATTACATGTTATGACTAATTGCAGAGCCTCAGACAGTCCTGGGTCTGTTGGACAACTCCAGCTCCACCTCTCATCTACACCTTACGATCCTCCCCCCTACTTACTCTTACTTCAACCTATACAATATAGAGGTGTTCAAGGAGAATGGATCTGAACTGCTGTTTGATCAAAACATCTCGCTAAGTCATGACGAGACGGACATATTCCTGTGGAATCTTACAGCCGGCACCTTGTATAACTTTTCTGTTACAACTAGAACAATCTGGGAAGAAAGTGACATATATTCCACAGAATTTGTTACATGTATGCAGTTATAATTTTTAATTGTTAGTGTCATTATTTAAGTGACATATATTCTACAGAATTTGTTACATGTATGCAGTTATAATTTTTTATTGGTGAAATTTTTTAATGGTTTTGATTGTGGACAGTTTGTTTTACATTTACTTGCACTCTTGTATTGAATGAAATATGTCTCCCTTTATAAAAATAATAATTGTTCTTTCCCCTTGATTTCAGACCCTAACAGTCCTGAACATTTGCAGATAAAAGAGGTCACCAACTCCAGTGTGACCTTGACCTGGATGCCAGTGACCTCTGGAGGCCTGGATTATTATCAGTGTAGTATATCTCCCAGGGAAACCAACACACAGTCTCCAGTGTATGCCATCTCTGACAGTTATTATGCTAAAAAAAAATTAATTTTATGGAATAAGACTGAATACATGTAAAAATATTTAAGCAATGGTCTATAAACTGACTTCTGTTGTGTGTAATATCTAGACTGAATTGCAGAATGGACTTTAATCAGCCAATGTTTGATATGCTTATACAACGTATTTGTGTACACATGTACCTCTGTGCATACTTTTTATTGTGGAAAATTTTGTAAATGAAAACTACTTGGTACATAGGTTAGTAAATGCCACATGCAGAATATTAACTTAGAGATGGACTTTCTTCCTCAGTGGTTTATTTAAATGTAAAGTGTTTTATCTTTGCAGCGAGCAAGATAACCTTCAGATCAGACAAGTGACCTTCAATAACCTTGTCCCCGGGAAGAATTACACTGTAGCTGTCCGAGCTGCCAAACAGAAAAAGCTAAGTCCCCAGATCACAGCAGAATTACTCACAGGTAAGTACAAATCTGATCCCCAGAACATATGATTTAACAACCATGCAGTGAAGTAATTGAAAGTTTTGGATCCAGTTACATCGAAAACAAAAAAGTAATATTTACGAGGGTTGTCCCAGAAAAACATGAATATTTTTTGTTTCACTTATATTATAAAGTTAAAAATTGGCATGCTCCATAATCAACATTTTAAAATAATTTACAGAAATTATCTCTATAAATAACATTTTTCTCTCACGAATCTAACGAATCATTCAAAATAGCTCCCAGTGCAACTCCGACGACGTCAAAACATAGCTCGTGGTGTTTTTGAATTTGTTCAGGAATCATGCGTCTTTAAAAATTTGTTCAAAGCAGAAATTTGATACTGCATTTGATTCTCTTTTAGTTACCGAGTTATCCATTTCACACATACTACAATTAGGAATAAATCAAGGAATTAGTTCTTTTAAAAGAAAATTTCCCAACCCGACCATAAACTTAACTGCTGGCATAGTTAACGGCAGTCTCCACTTATGACGTCCAGCTCTAGATAGACTTTTCTACGTGTCATCATTGTTGTTGGTCTACCAAACGCTTCTTCCATCGGATAACCAGTCCATCCATCTTTGAACTTCTTTTACTATGTATAAATGACTGTTGGATACATGTATTTTAATTTTTTGTTCCTTCATTCCAGCTCTTTTCCCATATAAACAGGAGTCATAACCTGCTTCACACAATACTAAGTAATAATTTAGTGTGCCACATTATTGCCCAACGTTGCCGTTTTTGACAGTAACTAACTAACAGTCATATAACGTCATATTTTTGTTATTTATGATGTTAAGGTATTAATTTTTTACAAGTACTCCAGATTGTACAGTTTCTATGGATGTAATTTTTGTCACATTATATTTCTGTATAGTCTGACTTGTAATAAAGTAAGACATAGATAGCAATGCTAATTTTGAAAGTCAAGAAATTGCCGTGCGCCAACCACTGATATTTAACACCCTTTAAATGCTGTTTCTAAATGCATATGACATTCCAACCTTATAGTATTTGGTCAAAATGACAAAAATATCATTTACCAACATTGTGCCAAAAATGAATAATTTTGGTCAGGCAGTTTGTGAAATATTTAAAAAGTTCGCATTTTTCTGGGACAACCCTCATATTTAAAAACAAGGGTACTTGTCAGAAGGTTCTATTGAAATTATCAGGGTTGGAAAAAAATCAGTAATCATTAATTGTGTATACAGTTTATCTAAATAAAGATACATGCAAACAAATTAAATGATGCTGCATCAGGTCTTAATTTACTTGCATCTGTACAGCAGACATATTTTAGTCTTCTTTTTATTTAAGTAGAGCAATGGATATGTAGTTGATAAAAAAAGGACAGTGTAACCACTTTCAAGATTAGACCAGTTTTGCAACCCTAATAAATGTAAATCTTTTTCTCCAAAAATAGTTCCAAATCCACCAGAGATGGTGAACATAACTCCTATCAGCGGCAGAGAACTGGATGTTGATTGGTCACCACCATCCAATGGAATTGTGGATTACTATACTCTGTACCTGACAGCAGACCACACCCACCCAATAAATGTAACAGAGAAAGTATACATAAGTTACCACAGGTTTACCTCCCTACACCCCGGGGAGACCTACACAGTCCATATCAGGTCACACGTAGCCAACATGATGAGTTCAGAGGTTACCCAGTCAGCCATGACAAGTAAGTAGTGTCTGATCAATGTCACATGTTTACATTCAGAGGTTACCCAGTCAGCTGTGGAAAGTAAGTATTTTAATTTCAGATCAAAGTCACATGATTACTGGGTAGGTTCATAGGTCACCCAGTCAGCTGACAAATAAGTACTTTCAGATCAAAGTTTACATAAATGACCGCAGACTGCACCAAGGAGGAATTAAGGTAATGGGACTAAAAGATAAATCCATGTAAAGTTACCTACCACTTCATTTGTATTTTACAGAGCTTCAGTAAAGTGTTTTTTAAAATTGGTTTTTCAGACCCCAGCTCTGTGGCTGAGTTGTATGTGGATCATGTAGGAACTAACACAGTTAATATTTCCTGGCCAAGACCTAATGGTAGTACATTTGATACCTTCCAGATTGCTATAGACCCCCCTCATGCACAGTCTCCCATTTCCATCCCAGAGTGAGTATACCATAGTGGTTTCATTGAGTATATTTTCTTGGTATTCAAGGATAAATTTGAATTTTTGGCACATGTATGTACTTGTTGCTTGGTACAACTATAACAAATTATATAAAGAGTGTAATGTCTTTATCTTTCCCAGATCCAGTGACATTTTGCAGTACACCTTCACTAACCTGACCCCTGGTCAGCTGTACAAGATTTCCATCACCACTGTCAACAAGGGCACTCAGAGTGACCAGGCCAGTGTTCATGTTATCACAGGTAATGCAGAAAATATCTGAAAACATATAAAGTGGAGATATAATCTTAATTTTACAAACTACTTCATCTCCATGTCTTGTACTTCTAATATATTCGTCCACCCCTCCCCCACTTCTTATATTTTTAGAACCAATGCCTGTAGAAGATTTGAATGTGACTTCTGGTGACCCCCACACTCTCAATGTGGAGTGGAGAACAGTTGACCCCAGACAACAACATCACTTCATTGTAAGGAATAAACTATCTATATGATTTTATGATAGAATGAATATGTGAATTTCTCAATTATCAGAAATGGCTTCTTCAGCTTTATGATAAGTTGTAGTTACATGAATTCTCATTCTGCATAAAGATTACATGTACATATGAAAGAATTCTTTTACAATAAATTTTCTAATGCTGATGCTTTACAATCTAATTTTTGTACTTGAAGCTTCAGTACCATGACTGGTTAGACAGTGGTAATACATCTCTACCCATGGCTCTTGCTCTCCATGATAAATTTAAGTACGAGACACACATCCTAAATCTGAGACCTGGTCACCACTACTCTGTGTACGTTCAGGCAAAACAGGTCTTGGATGCAGGGAACGGCTCTCTTGTAGCCTACAGCTCCTGGCAGAGTGTCAACAAGACTACAAGTAAGGGGACGCTTGGAAATTTTAATGTAATGCCATAATTGTGTAAGAAATTTAAGAAAAGAGGAAAGAAATCCAGTAGGTGTACAAAGTATTTGTGATCTGTTATGTTTGGTATTATAGAGCCCAACAAGGTAATGAATTTGACATACACCTCGTCCCATAATGACATCACCCTGACATGGTTGCCAGGCAACGACAGCATACAGGATAGTTACTTTGTCTGGTACCGGGCCCGTCTCCATGGTGACTACAGTCAATGGAAGAAAAACATCAGTGACAATACACAAATCGTTCTCTCTTCTTTGTTCCCTGGACTCTTGTATGAGATGGTAGTGTTTGCTGTCAGCCATTCTGAGATGAGTCCGCCCTCAGTTGTGTCTGCACTAATGCGTAAGTACATATGTAAAAGGTAGAAATCCTTTAAACGTACTTTTTACCATGGGGTCATGATTCTGTGAAATCTCAATTTCTGTACAATCCATGCGTCCAAAATTATACTGATTTCTTGGGTTGCCTTTGTATATGTCTTTAATGCTTGTAAAATAGTAAACAAGAATTAATATATAAGATTCATGTTTCAGCTCCTCTACCTCCTAGCAGTGTAGAAGTAACATCTGTCACCAATAACAGCCTTTCTCTCAAGTGGACATACAACAGTAACACAACCTACGTAGAGAGCTGGAATCTCACTTACACCAGTCTGATAGACAGTGTGTCTAACACAGTTAATATCCAGGCCAACTCATCAAACAACACTGTTATATACAATATTACTGGACTTACTTCTGGACACACCTATAATATCACTATCTACAGTATTGTGCAAAATTCTGTCTCCAAGTCTGTGAATTTGAATGTCTCTGTCCGTAAGTAATATAAAAAATAAAATGCATCAACCTATATTTCATTCAATTCACCCTTTAAACATTTCTCTTGATTTGAAAGTCATTGATATGTGAATTAGCATAATACGTCTTTACATAAAATTTCATTGAGGCAATAGAATTACTTTTACTTAATATTATACTCTTATTTCAGAGCCAGAAATAAAGACAGTTTTGTCTGAGGGAAATGTTGGAAGTAAAAACATCTCAGTCTTGTACACTGACACTGACAACTACTTTGAGTATTATGTGTTTGAGCTGGCGGCCACGTCATCAATAGTGAAGAAGAACAGAACTGACACAGATCGCAGTGTGGTGTTCTCAGGTCTAGAGGGAGGGACCCAGTACAGTATCAAAGTGACTGCTGTCAGTGGGGACCAGTCTAGTCCTCCCACTTTTATACAGATACGTACTGGTAAGTCGTCTTTGCTATCAGCTTTATTTATCACTAAATAGAATGTTCATTTCAATCAATTTATTTATGTGTATTTTTTTTTTCATTTTTCAGTGCCTGAGCTACCATATGTTGGTAGAGAGAAGTCAGCTAACTATATTAAGTTGACCATCCATAAACCAAATGGAAATGTTGATTCGTACCGTGTAACGTGTTCTAAAAGTTGTGGATCCCAAACAAGACTAGCAAACCAGACAACAGTTGTGCTAGAGTTCGGTCCCCTAAATCCATACACAGATTATCAGTTTGAAATTGAAGCCATTGCTGGGGATAAACACAGCTCCCTCTTTATCTCCTCCAGGACAGAAGAATCAGGTCAGCCAATCAGATTACAGATTTCAATGCCAATCTTTAATTCTATTAGTTGAAAGTCAAGGTGAAATGGATATGATTGATTCAGAAATTGACAAATTTTTAGGTCACCTGAGTCACTCAGGTGACCTATTGCTATCCATCCATCGTGTGTTAACTTTTGAACATTTTCAACTTCTCTAGAACCACTAAACCAATTTCATCCAATTTGGCATATAGCATCTTTGGGTGAAGGGGAACAAAAATTGTGAATTTCATAGTCCCTGTCCCCCTAGGGCCCCAAGGGTGGGGCTAAAATCACCAAATTGATGCAATCTTTAAAAATCTTCTTCTTTACTCCTGGACATCAAGCAGTCAAACTGTTGGCAAGATTGTAATAAGCATTTGGCCCTCTACCAAAATTATGAAATTCATGGCCCCAGGGTCAGGGGTTCTGGTGCTAGGGTGGGGCTAGATAGATCATTTAGTGAAAATGCATTAATTCATTGAAAATCTTCTTCTCTTCTCCTGGGTATTACTTAAACAAACTAAGTGCATGGTTATGATAAGCATTGATTCTTTTTCCAAAATTGTGAATTTCATGACCCTTGGGTCAGGGATTCTGGTGTTAGGATGAGGCTCTATTGATTATATAGTCAATGTGCATTGATTCTTTGAAAATCCTCTTCTCTGCTTCTGCGTATTGTTTAAACAAACTAAGTGCATGGTTATGATAAGCATTGATGCCTTCTCCAAATTGTGAATTTCATGAACCCTGGGTCAAGGGTTCTGGTGTAAGGGCAGGGCTCTATTGATTATATACATGTACTAGTGAAAATGCATTAATTCTTTGAAAATCTTCTTCTCAGCTCCTAGGTATTATTTAAACAAACTAAGTGCTTGGTTATGATAAGCATTGATTCTTTTTTCAAATTTGTGAATTTCATGACCCCTGAATTTGTGAATTTCATGACCCCTGGGTCAGGGGTTCTTGTGTTAGGGTGGGGCTCTATTGATTATATAGTGAAAGTGCATTATTTCTTTGAAATCTACTTCTCTGTCCCTGGGTATTTAGCAGATAAACCAAGTATATACATGTAGTTATGATGAGCAAGGGCAGCTCTGTGGAAATGGTGTCGTGATTATCATTGCCCTTGGGTCAGGGGCTTTGGTTTTAGAGTGGGGCTATATTGAATCTATAGTGAAAATGGATTATTTCCTTGAATATCTTCTTCTCTGCTCCTGGACATCTAGGAGGTAAGAAGAGTATAAAAAGTTTTAATAAGCAGGGATGTTTTTATCAAATGTTGAAATTCTGTACCTTTTGGTCAATTTATTAATTTCTACCGGAAGAAGTTATTCCCCTTTGCTATCCACCTATAATAGTTAATCACTGTAAATAATGTAACTTAAAAGATCAATTAAAGAACAGAAATTTCCAAAGTATTTAAAACAAAAGTACTTTCATAGATTTTAATGGTCAGAAAAAGTGTTAAACAATAGATAAATGAAAATGGTACAAAAATTCCATATTTTTGTACAATAAATAATCTTTAAAGAGCGAGAGAAGCCAACGTGAAGGGAATGAAATGTGTTAACTGATAGTGTTTTGTCAAGTCCGCATGAGGATAGTGACATAGGGGAAAGTACAGGCAAATAAATAGATCAACTTTTAAGATTTATTATTGAGTACTAAATTGTTATTTTCCTGATCCCTGATTATCCTATTTCTCTTGCTTTTTGGGCAACATAACTTTATTTATCTGCTTATTCTGTTTTAATCTATGGATTGTTACATTATACTCAGGTGACCATTAAGGCCCTTGGGCCTCTTGTTTTATGTCTTTTGATGTATAGTACTTGTTAGTGAAAATTTATTTTCCTGTGCTTTGAAAGTTTGAAATCAATTCAACTTGTGTCTATTTTAGCACCCTCTGCTGTTCAGAACTTGAATGTGGTTGAGATTTCACCCAGGACTGTAAATGTGAGCTGGTCACCCCCTAGAAATCCTAATGGAATCATCCGTTCTTATCACATAGCATACACTGCAGAGGATGAATTTGTGAGTGATTATATCTTAGAAAGTTTGTTTGTTTTAATACATAATTAAAAGGTTAATTAGAATTGTACAGAGATGCTATACTAGAGAAGATAATGTTATGACTCAAGTGATTGTTTTAGGGGCACATAATGGACCAGGGTGAGAAGGACATTGGAGTGACCACAGAACTTATGGCTGCTCAGCTTATCAGGGAGAAATTCACAGACCTTAAGGCTGGACTAAAATATACTTTCAAAGTAAGTTCTGTGAAGTGAAATTTAATTGAATTGAAATAACTGCATGTAAAACATTTGACTTAAATATTTTTGAAATCATACAAACACTTACTTTGTTGCAGGTGTCAGCTAGAACTGTAATAGAAAATATTCCAGAGAAGTTTGAAATTGTTCTACGCACCTACAGTAAGTCAGTACCGTATATACTCGCCTATAAGGCGGTTTTTTGGAGTTAAATTTTGGTCCAAAACTCTATGTCCGACTTATAGGCGAGTCATAAAAAATGACATTACTTTGAACGGCAACATGTACGGTAGTATTTTTATAAATGTGTCCGACGATTATCGTAGAATAAAGTCTGGATATAATATATCATTTTTGTATTCGAAGATTATGCATGATGTACAAGTATTTGCATATTTCAATAATTTTATTTTTGTCTTAAGTGTGCATTACTTATTTTTTTTTTAATGATTTAAAATTAAATAATGGCGTCATTTCTAGAAAAAATTACTTAAACCAGCTTAAAACAACATTAAAACATTGCATTGATTTGAAATTGTCAGCCAGTTCTTGCAAAAAGTTGTACCGACTTATGTGCGGGTCAATCGCAAATCCCTCCAAAATAACTTCAAAAATTACAACCGACTTATAGGCGGACTGACTTATAGGCGAGTATATACGGTAATTATCTGTGACCCACAGAGAATTTCCAGTGTTGTCTTTATGCAGAGATATATGGGTGTATGAACATCAAACTCACACATGAAAACACTATCTACTTTATTGAATCAGTGAACAATTTATAATCGATTCTTGATTATGTATCGTCAATTCTCATTATATCGCGGGTTCCATTGTATCGCGGTATTTTCCAAAAATTAGGATACATAGCTCATATCCTTTTTGTTGATGGACTATCTGTCTGTCGTCTGAATGTTGATTTTTGTGATGGTTAAAAAGTATGAAACACCCGTTGGAAAAATATTTATTCAAATAAAACGAAATTTTACAGATTTCCTTTCCCGTTTTTATTTTATTTAGACCATTGAATATATATAAAAATTGTACTTTGTGACAGTGCTAAGCCTCCATGTTTTTCAATACCGCGATACAATGAGACTCTCCACTTTAGAAGGTAAATAAGACTTCCTGTTTTAAAAATAGACTACAAAGTAAACGAAGGAAGCTTAGAAATAATTAGCCACTAAAACGTTAGGCCATTGATAAGTTTATGAATAGTATTTGTTGAAAAGTCAATGTAAGAATTTGGAATAATTTTTTTACGCAAAAGAAATAAGTACCGCGATATTATGAGACACCAGTATATCTAGCGAGATAGAAATAAGTGCTTATTTGCAATTTTTAGATCCTCCTATCAAAGACAGCCTGACCTTGAGTCAAACAAAACCAAAGCAGCTGACCTCAGGAGGTCAAACTGTGACCCCCTCCACCATTACGGCCAACTTTACAAATGCCTTCTCTGATAAGTACGGCAGTATACAGGCCTACACAGTCATTATAGCCACAGACCCTGATGAGGAGCACATCAAAACCAGCACCCTGCCTGACTGGAAGGCTGCCCAGATCAACCCCAACATCAAAGCCTACCAGACCATTCGGAACTGCTCGGACTTCTTCCAATTGACGTCTTCTTGCGGTCGAGCTCGGTCCAGGCGGAGCGTGGGGGAGAAGAATTATAAAGTGTTTGAGATTGGTGTGGAGGCAGATTGTAATAATGTGTTGTACTGTAATGGTCCACTCAAACAGAACACTAAGTACTACATCAGACTGCGGGCTTACACAGCGGGGGGATACGCTGACACTGCTTATTCAGATCCTATCACCACAGGTAAAACATCATGTAGTACAGTAGTCACCTTTTCACATTGTCGCCACAGGTAAAAAATCATGTAGTTCAGTCAGTCACCTTTTCACATTGTCAGCACTGGTAAAATACGTTCCTGTAGCACAGTAATCATCTTTAAACATTGTCAGCACTGGTAAAACTTCACGTAGTACAGTAGTCACCTTTTCACACTGTTACCAGTTTTTTCCAGAGTGTTAATTTATTGTAAAGAAAATGTTTTGTTCATTGTTTGAAGGATAAAAGTCTTCAATGAGGGGAAGAGGGTAGTGGTTTCAAAAATATAAAAATTTATAAAATATCAAATTGTTGTGTTGAGATTTGTGTCACCTATTGCTGCTGTAGGGATAGTCCCTGTCGCAGATGATGAAGCCAATGTGGGAGCAATCGTCGCAGCAGTCGTCTGTTCTGTCTTTGTCATTGTCTTCATCATCGCCATCTTCTTCTTCCGAAGTCGGTTACAGAAAAAGAGCCCAGAGGGACCACCAGGTCATTCTCCCAGAACAAGCTTCAGTCGACACAAGAAAAGGTTTCCATTCAAATGAATCTGTTTTTCTTCATATTTCAGTTTAATATAGATATTGTCTCTTTGTAATAATCAAGTTCCTGTAAATACATGTTAATGTTAATCATATTTTTATAAAAAGAATTTGAATATACTGGACATTTACTTTAAAGTACTTTGATTAAAAGGTACAGAAAGGGATTTTCAATGTTTTAACTTATTCCTTTTACTTTGTTGCAGTCATGAGTTCAAGGTGGCAGACTTCAAGGAGTACATTAAGACATTGTCAGCTGACTCGGATTTTAAATATGCTGAACAATTTGAGGTTTGTATGTAGCAGAGTTATCTTCCCTTACTCATAATTGTATGGACTCAAATTTTTAAATATGCTGAACAATATACAGGTTTGTATGTAGCAGAGTTATCTTCCCTTACTCATAATTATATGGACTCAAATTTTAAATATGCTGAACAATTTGAGGTTTGTATGTAGCAGAGTTATCTTCCCTTACTCATAATTATATGGACTCAGATTTTAAATATGCTGAACAATTTGAGGTTTGTATGTAGCAGAGTTATCTTCCCTTACTCATAATTGTATGGACTCAAATTTTTAAATATGCTGAACAATATACAGGTTTGTATGTAGCAGAGTTATCTTCCCTTACTCATAATTATATGGACTCAAATTTTAAATATGCTGAACAATTTGAGGTTTGTATGTAGCAGAGTTATCTTCCCTTACTCATAATTATATGGACTCAGATTTTAAATATGCTGAACAATTTGAGGTTTGTATGTAGCAGAGTTATCTTCCCTTACTCGTAATTGTATGGAAAGCCCATGTTTAGATCACAAATAATTAGAATGTGATTAATTTGACAGGATCTGAAGGAAGTAGGAAGAGATCAGTCCTGTTCTGCAGCAGAGCTCCCAGTCAATCGGGGGAAGAATCGTTTTACCAATATTTTACCTTACGACCATTCCCGTGTCAAACTCCTCCCCACAGATGATGAAGAAGGATCAGACTACATCAATGCTAACTACATGCCGGTATGATGGGTGTTATATATAATTTATGCATCAGAAGAAAATATCCTTCCTCTTTATTAAAAATAGCCTGAATCATGAAATTTATACCCAGCTAAATGTAAATGAATTAGCAATGTCCTGCTAACTGCACATCTAGATCTCAAAGAAAAGTACAACTGTAGATTCTGAAATAATCTATAATATCTGTTCTTGAAGGGATTTACATCCAAGAGAGAATACATCGTGACACAGGGGCCACTACCTTCCACCAGGGATGATTTCTGGAGAATGATCTGGGAGCAAAACGTCCGTAATATTGTCATGTTGACTCGCTGTACAGAAAAAGGCAGGGTAAGCATTGTTTGCTGAAAGATGCTTTAATTAGCGACTGGTCATGACTATTTAATGTAGCCCTAGTGACATGTTTGTTTTGTAGGAGAAATGTGATCACTACTGGCCTACTAATTCAGATGCCATGTTTTATGGAGATTTACAAGTGGCTGTTCTCTCAGAGACACGTTTCCCGTCCTGGACCATCACAGAAATGAGGGTAGCTTATGTAAGTTCAACAGCCATTTTGTTTTTAAAATTTTTATGCCCCCCTTTGAAGAAGGGAGGGAATATTGCTTTACTGCTGTCTGTCTGTCAGTCGTTCGGTCTGTCTGTCTGTCTGTCAATCTACCAACAGTTTCCCTTCGTTTTCTTCCCAGAGGTTGCACATAGTGAAATGAAATTTGGTATACAGATTTATCATAAGAATATCTAGGTCAGTTTCTATTTTGGGCAAGCAATTTTTGACAGAGTTATGCCACTTGGACTTAGAAAAATTCCAATTATTTGCAGTTTCTGTTCATTTTCTTTGCAGAGGTTGCACATACTGAAATGAAATTTGGTGTACATATTTGTCCAAAGGGGGGGAGGGGCATAAGTGTTTCACAAACATCTCTTGTTACTTTTTGGCTGCCACAGCTGTATTTATGTTTTCTTTGGTGTTTCAAAAGGGTAACGTCACTCGACCCATCAGGCACTTTCATTTCACCGCTTGGCCAGACTTCGGAGTACCAGAGAAGCCTCCAACACTGATTAAGTTTGTACGCATTGTTAGAGATCAGATGATTAGAGAATGTGGCCCAATTCTGGTTCATTGTAGGTGAGTTAAGCTTTTAACATAGTGTCTGTGAGAAAGCATTTTGAAATTTAGGAATTAAAGTAAGGTCTTATGGATTTGTAATTCCTCCATTATTTGTGATGATTGTTTCCAGTGCGGGAGTTGGAAGATCTGGCACCTTTATCGTGTTGGATCGCCTGCTACAGGAAATTAAAGAGCGTGATACTGTTGACATCTTCTCCATTGTACACGATCTGAGGAAGGAACGAGTCTGGATGGTACAGACAGAGGTATGTCAGGGGCTACACTCGACTCCAGAGTTCTAATCACATCAAATTATAAACTTTATATTCAACAAATTAAGGTCTTTCCACCCTCACAATTTTCACTGCTCAAAGTACAAAAATTGCATTTATTTTCATTTAATATAGTTTAAATTTACCATTTATTTAAAAAAAATGTATAGGTTTCCATATTATTTAAGTTAAGAGACATAAATAAACAGAAGTATATGTCAACATAAAAAAAATCGTACATTTTTTGTAAACAGTATTATAAAAATTATGTAAAAACTGGTTCATATGCATAATTCTGATGCTGAAAGTACCTAAATACTTGCTACTTATTAGATATTTTTGAATTGTGAATATCAGGGAAAGTATTTTACCTTAGAAGTTCAATAAAGAAGATACCTGAGAAGGAGTTATTGCCCTTGTCAACATTTTTTAAAGATTGAATAATTCATTAAATAAAGAAAATATAATTTTTAACAATATTCATCATTACACCTATTGAAAAGCATTCTTCCAAAAGATATTGTTCTATTGGATATGAATTTAAACCAATAACAGTTTTTGCAAAAACCTATGACATCACAGGAGGATGGAAATACCTTAATTTACTTACTGTCAAATGTTTAAAACAAAGCCCTGGAAAAGCTGACTTTGCTTCAATATACCCATAATTAAAACATTGTAGTAGTTTAGTTAATGCACATATTTCATAAATGCTTTGTACAGTGTAATATTCAATACAAAATAAAAAATTATTTTACTTTTGGATATGTTGACATCATTTAAATACCGGTATGTTTTATGGCTCAGATTGTTTGCTTACATTAAGTATGAGCAGATTTAAAATTTGGTTAATTCATACGATTTAGCTATGGAATAGTAAAATGTCACTTATGCAAATATAAAACAGGTCACTACCATTGTTTAATTTATTTACAAAAAAAAAAAAATAAAAATTGAATTGGAAAAGGGCAGGGGGAGGGTAATTTCCAGCAGTTTTGTTACAAAAGAATCTCACTGCTTTAAAGAGTACTTCCTTGATTGTTTCAGAATTTTTTGAGAAGTACACTAATCTTTATACGTTATTATAAACTATTTTTATTTCCTTTACAGCAACAGTACGTGTGTATACACCAGTGTCTACTGTGTGTGTTAGAGGGCAGAGAAGAGGAACATGTGTATCAGAATGTAGGGATAGCTAATGCAGCATTTGATGGTAGGAACAAAGGGCCATGTCTTTGTACTGTTTATCAATCTTTGAATGAGAGAACGCACATCAGTTTCTTTGTATAATTAAAACAAAAAACAAGAGCAATTTATTACATAGAAATTTATACTACATGTACATATAAATGCTTTGATTACTTTTATGAGAAATATATTGAATACATTTTTATGTACATCTATATATTTTCTGTTTTACACTTCTATTAAAAACATACATGTAGTTATTCCTACTTTAACTTACATTGATTTACACTGACATTTATTTTAGCTGATGATGAAGGCATCAATGTAGAAATCCCCTGAGAGGACCTCACTGCCAAACCATCCTGGCTTTTCCCTGTAAGGGCCCCCATGTCATCTGATGTATATGTCCTTATTCCTACAGGATTTATTGTTTGGAAACTGAGTATTTTCTCTTTACAAGGTGTATTAAATTTTGAAAACATTTTAAATTTACACATTGCAGTTAACTCCCTTTATGTAGATTACAACATTGCAGTTAACTCCCTTTTTGTAGATTACAACTTTGCAGTAAACTCCCTTTAAGTAGATTACAACGATTTTTTTTTTTGTGGGCCCACTAATATCAGACTTTTTTTCATATTTCTTATACTGCATAATCCCACCACATTCCATTATAAACTGCCAGTATATATGTGTTTTCTAATTTTTTTTTCATATTTGATATAAATTCAATGTTTTTAACCGTTAATATGCTAAGCTTCTATTTTTATTGCGGTAGTGATATTACATGATGAGGTTGTGTATTTACAGTTTATTCTATCAGAATTGTTGGTGCTGTCAATATTGTGTACATATCCATTCCATATCCATGTATATTGTTTTATTTTTATGATATTTATTATATTTATTGTTTGACCATGTTGTTCACTGTGTATTTTTAAAAATGTCATTGAAAGTTAAAAACATGAGGTATTGTCACAGGTTAAAAATGACCAAGGCACTTTATGAACTAAAAATCTTTGATATTATTAAGAATACAAAGTCATGTACTTAAGAAGTTTTGACATGATGAACAAAAAGTATATTTTTTTAAGTCTTGTACTTTTCATTTTTTTTTTCTGAATATTGTGCCATTACAATGTACATGTATTCAGTTTGGTTAGACTTGATTTTCTGCAGATCTATGAAAGTTTTGAATTATTGTGCCTTATGTAGTACTCCTGTAAAATGAAGTCTCAAATTGTTGGTCTGTTTACAAGAACAAAAGGCATTATGTATTGATATTCATTAAAAACAGGTTGTGTGAGATTAGATATATCTTTTTACAAACTGATTATGTAGTATGTTCAGCATTCCTTGTAAACTTTACATACGTATTTCTTTAAGTGGTGTTGATGTCAAATTTACATCTGTATAATTTATCTGTAATTTTTTTAATGCGATTTAAGTGTTCCAATGTGGACTATTCTTTTTTTTTCAGAGAAATTACATTAATATGATATTAAACATACATCTGTATGTGAAGTAGGATCTGATGGTAATTCTCTACTTAAATGATTGGCTAATCAAAGAATTTGACTTGATACATAGACCCCTATACAATATTACATGATAGCGCATTAATTCAGTGTATTAAGATATCCCACTTGTTGCTGAATTTGTCTGATTTTTCACTTGGGTGTATGTTTTGTTTCTGAGATATACACTTATACAGTTATCTGTAAATATACATTTTCAATTTTGGATTTTTATTATAATTACTCTTTCATTTAAATAAGTTATATAGAAAATCTTAATTAAGAATATTTTCATGTTTTTATCGATTGTCTGTATGTTTGTAGGTGTTGAGGTTGAAGTATAATGCTATTATTCAGGAATTTCTCAGTATATTATACAAATATATAGATAATATAATGGGCATTTAGGACCACTCATTCCTCGGTCCTTGTATGTAGATGTAGTTATCTTTTCTTCAGTACATTTCCACAAATTAATACTGTTTGTGTGGTCATATGACATACAATGTATTTATGTGTAGTTGTATTTTTCAAAGTGCTACATGTATAAGTTAGCGTATTTAGCATATTAGTTCCATTTTTTTTTTTAATCCATAATCAATGCCTGGAAGGAAATGAATTTTTCACTAGATCTAGTCAGCTGTCCATTTCTGACCTCAAGACCAATTGTGCAGTTCAGATATTAAAATATAACATCAAGTTAATGCTGTTGTTGTGTTTCCAAATGAGTAGATGATACCTTTAAGATAATACTCAGTTTATTTACTGTAAATGTACTAAAAAATCATTCAAAATTCAGTACAATCCTGTTTATTAACTGATTAGAGTAATCATTTACTGGGGTTAAGCTTTGAGATCTGATCGACATTTTGCAGAAATTACCAATTTAACCATGAATACATTAAATTCTATATATAATATAATAAACACAGTGATCAATGTAGAAAACATTATGCAGGATACCAATTTAATTTCTGTTCACAAGTTAACTAGAGTTTTTTTTTAGTTCAGAGTAATAACTGTTGTACCTAGTATGTTTTCAACAAATTAAGAATCACTGGAGATACTTGTACACTGTCACTGTGTTAGTGTTTCGTTGTCCTACATAGAGATTGTTCTCATCATCCACACACACACTGCGGGGATACTTTACCCCTTGTTGTTGTGTGAGTAATAGAGACAAGAACTGACCGTCCTGATCAAGGAGGTGAACAGTGTTACTGCAAAAGTATCCATCACACACCAGGATGTGACCGAGGACATCAGTACAGATTCCATAGGGCCAGAACTCTGACTTCTGACCTGTGTAGGAGAACCTGTGTTGTCCTGATTTATTCACCACCACTACTCCATTATTATAGTCTGATGTACAGATGTCTCCATTGATGTTTTCTGTGATGTAGTGTGGTATATCATACAGTCCCTGTCCTTTGTTATCCCTCTGTATGTTCTGTAGTTCTTTTCCTGTCTTGTTGTACCTGGTCACTTTAGCCTCTTCAATCTTTGTCATCCCCACCAGTATGTCCCCGTTGATGTGGGAGGAGTGTATGCTGAGTGGTCTCCAGTCTCCAGTTTTAATGAATTCAGTGATACTATTATCCTGTGTTATCCTATTGATGACTTTCTTGTCTTGGTCTGTAAAGATCAGATCCCCGTCCTGTGTCACTGTGTGGTAACCACGTCCATCACTGGTTTTTATCTTCTGTATCACATTCCCCTGTAGATCTGTTTGGACAAGATTACCATCATCATCACTGATCCAGAGTCTGCCTGATTGATCTAGTGATACAATATGGTATACATCATCAACACCTGGTACATTGAACTCCCTGACCTTGGTGACAGAGGCAGATAGAGACATTGTTTGTTTCTTGTCAGATTTCACATGTTTATCCTGTTTTGACTGTTCACTTGTAGATTTCATTGATGTAGCAATAGGAGGAATTTCCATTGGCTCTACACTTCTTAGTTCACCCTTTCTATCTGTTACAGTTATCTTCCCCAGTAATTTAGCAACATCTTTTTTGTTGTATTGAGCTGAAGAAAATTCTGGTATGATGGGTTTTGTGGTTTCTGGTATGGATTTTATTTTTAAGTTCTCTGGAAGTTTAGCTGTGAAGTTAGTGAGCTCAGTAGAGGACAGGTAACTCTGGAACTCTTTAACAAGGTCACTGAGATAGGCAATATAGTCATCAAATGTCTTCTCTTGGCTCTTTAATTTCTCCAGTAATGACTTCTCTATTTGGTGTAATTCTTCCATATTTTCTGAGAGCACTGTGTCCACCATGTTTTTGAGAGACTCGGCCTCAGCCTTCATGGATGTCCGTATGCTGTCCATGATCTGTTTAACTTCTGTGGCATCTTTCCTAACTTCTCTCTGTAAATCCTGTGAGGTTGAAACAAGGTAATTATTGATTTTAGAGAGTTCCTTTTGGCAAAGTTCAAACTTATCTGTGTAGATAGTTTCTAAATCAATAAATACATGTCTATGGTGCTCTTGTAATGTCGAACACTTTGAACATAAAGGAATATTGCATTCTTTACAGAGAATGTCTATATCTTTAGTGGGGTGGATATTGCACTTCTTCACAGGAAGTTGACGTTTGCGTTGCTGGTAAAGGACAACGTCATGGTTTTTATTTTCTGAAATCCTCTGATGTTGATCTCTGCATGATTCACACATGCGATGATGACAGGAATTGCAGTAGAATTCACAATTTCTCTCACAATCTTCAGTACCACACTCTAGAAAGTGTTGGGCAGTGCCTGGTATTTTTGGTTTGGAAAAAGCCATCTGAAATTTAAAAAAAAAAGTTCTTTACATGCCATAGAAACTATTTATGCATTATACATGTAATTAACATTACATTCTGAACTATATGTAGTAAGACATTCCAATCAAATTTTCTTAGTAATATCGTAGATTATTTTTAAAAATAAAACAATTGCAAGATAAAAGGCTAAATTCTTTTAGAATTCAAACTATTTGTGCCATAGCTAGTTGTTATTTCTTTGGTTAAAAGTGTGGGTTACTGTACATAAACAACACTTTTCTGTAAACTCCATCCTTCGAGTCAGGACAAAAGAACACTACATAGAGCCAAGCCACAATTTTAAATTAAATAATCATATGTTATAGATATACCAAATTCAATAGAAAATTACAAAACACTGACAATTATTATTTAAAAACTTAACGTTTCATAAAGACGCTGACAAGTGCAGAAAAAAGATTTTTTTTTCATTCTTTTAAACAACATTTGTATTCTCATCGATGAAGACATAACCTAATGAATACTTAGAACATTTTTTATTAATGAAATTGTTCGTATCTCTTAAATGATTCCATTATATATATATTGATCTATTATAAGCTAAGAAAACTAAAAACGTGTTTAAATCAACAAGTTTTAATTATATCTATTGTAAATTTAAAAAAAAATCCTTTCGTGTTTGAAATCATCATAAAAAAATAAAATTAAGTTCAAAGGGTTTGAATTAATTAATTTTGTCATTTTAAAATACACGAATTCGGAATATTCAATAACACATGTAAGTCAATTAAAATAAATTCGTGCTACATTTATGACTAAAATAAAAAAAAAAAAAGATATCAATTTTGGTAAATTTTGGTACTACAAGTGACTTACCCCATATAATACTGTTGATTATGTGTAGATACCCGATGGACGTGGTCATAATGACATCTTGGGAGCTATACGCTCCCTCGTGTCATTATTACCACGCCCATCGGGTATCTGTACATAACCAACAGTATTATATGGGTAACTACAATGTACTACAGTGTATATGTATGATTTACACACACATAGATTCAGTGTTTCACAGTTTCTTGCAATAGTAGTACAGATTACTTTCTGAAAAGAATTGTAGCCTACATATATACTTTTACTTACTTTTGACACAAATGCCCTCTAAATATATTTCTGTCAATAAACCCGCAGTGAGATTTTAGTCGAGACTTGAATGAGAACTGCAATTTACTTCCTGGTTAGAGATAAATATAGATCTTTTTAAATCACCTGGCTATATATACAACAACCATTGCTATTTTTTGCACTTAATCACAAAATGATTAGTATGATCAGTTTTGTGTGATTTGACACGGTTCATAAAACAAATAAATACCCAAGATTAACTTACTTTTTTAAATATAAAAAATGTAATTGGTAGTCCTTCTATCAAAGATTTTTCAGAGAAATTGAATGAATTGTAAGCCCTATTGTCTAGTGAAAAATAAACGTTAAAAAAATATTATCATATTAATAATGGTATCTTTCGATAATTAAGCATTTTAACTAACTTTTGATTTAGTAACCTCAAAAAGTGTGAGAAAAAATCATTATATCCTGATACGTGTATTATGTAATTATTATTAACCTATATATTAGCAATTTATAACAGTGATATTGGATATGGAACCCTGGACCCCTCCATCAACTTGTCAAGCTGCTCTACCATCTGAACCAGGCCGATAGACATGGCCAAATCATCAAACCAATTTAGGTAATGCGCAGATCTACGGGGGTGGGGGGATCCGGACCCCCCCCCCCCCTCTAGAATTTGCAGAGTTATTTGAAGTATATACTGAAGCCAATAAAATATGACTTCGGACCCCTCCTTAAAAAAGTGGACCCCACCATCACCACCACGAAATAGGTGTTTTTCACGTTTGGGAAATGGATTTTGCCTTTTTTACTTTTTTTTTCTTTGACTGGGATGGGACCCCCCCCCCCCCCGAAAAAAAAAATCCTGGATCCGCGCCTATAGGTAAGCTATACATTTCACAGGCATTTACGGAAAGGGCGCCCCCTCCTTTTCCATTTTTTTGAAAATCAGGGATCAACACACTCTCTTTCCCTGTTCATGAATTCTTATATGCATTTAATATAACCTTTTTATTTCTATAAGCTGTTTTTTAAATATCTTATTCAGTCGAAAACGAGATTTTAAAAAAAAAAGCTCACAAAAGGGTTACATTCATTTATCGATTACATGTATTGAATATAGGAAAAGGGTATGTCGATCCCAAATTTAAGAAGGAAAAAGGGGGCATAACCTACACCAAGTACCTGGTATAATAATTTTTGTTCGAAGGTTGATATTTTTTCAATTTAGTATCTTATTCATTTTAGTTATTTGTTATTTCATTGATTTCTCTAAAGTATTATCAAAAGGGCATTGGAAAATAAAATAGCGGTACTTGGTTCAATTTAACTCGATATATCCCTTTGAACTCGAAATAATAAGGCACCACGTAGTCTGAGACATCTGTTTTGTATTTGGATATTTTAGTTGAAAAAGAGGTTAATGGTAATGACCCTTCTGTTTCTGACATGTTTCATCTTATAAAATGAAATGTGCATCATGACTATAGATTTAATTTGATATAATGCAATATGTCAGAAAGTTCAATAACCTTACAACAAAACTTTATGTTAAACGTGATACCTTCAACTTCTCTACGCAGTACAGTTAAGGCTACACATGAAGATAATATGGTAATGAGGTCATAATGAGGTTTGACGTCATGACAGTTGCTCCGCCTTGATTGATCCATATAAGGAAATAGAGCTCAAAAAAGCTATTTAATGATGATTGCGAGAATTTGTAATGAATGTCTGTATTTTCAGGTTTAAATAAATAAACATTAGTGATTCTCTCTTATATAGTAACAACACGT